CTTTTTTCATTGTTCCGGTTATTTCATAGATTTCTTCACTAGCATATCAATAACGATTTTACAATAAATAACCAGAAAGAGAACGCCAATATTGATTAAAATATTGCCTTTAGAGTTATCAGGCAATACTTGTTTACCTATTCTTTTTGTGCCACTTTGCAATTAGGCCTATTTAGTTATTAAAGATAAATCTAATAATCAAATATGTTAAACATTAAAATGGAAACATTTTTGTTTAACCTTTTGCTAATTTTATTATTTTCCGTATTGGGATATAAGCTCGCCTTTCTTACGGGCTGACTATATCAATAGTAGCAGTACAAATAGTACATTATTTCGTCTGAGACAAACGGCTATCGATAGGGACTGGTTTGAATTTAAATTTAAATTTATGAATGAACAACTTGATTGCGTTGTGCGATAATAATTAATTAATTATGGTTGTTGTTACTGCACTTGACACTGTCTTTCTGATGGGCGTCGCTTATCGTTTTTGGCGCTACTGCCTGTGCGGCGACTTAATTGTTTGTAATTAAATAAAATTGTACAAGGTCGATTACAAAAACATACTCTCGGGGCTGGTAAATCCATGGTTACCAATTTGTTTTAATATAAAAAGCCGGCCGGCAATTTAATTTGTATCGCGTATAGTACGTGCGAGGCGTCGGAAAATTGATTCCTGCTCATTATTTCATTAAAAGCGTTCTGCCAATTGGCTGGACCCAAAGAACCGGCTGGCCTATCAAATTGTCTCCCGCTCTCCGTGATTTTTGCTTGCAGTTCGATTTGATTTTATGAATGGAATTGTATCAATTGATTGTTTTGGTCTTGTTATCGTTGCCTTTCGATCGTCGATAATTAAGTCGGGGGTGTGTATGCCCACCCCCTCTCTATGGCTAAATAGGTTAGAATTATTGAGGCTCTGGTGCTCTGCATCGTCTGTGGTTTAATGAACAAATCAAATTGTCTAATAGTAATCCAATTTACTTGATTCGAGCTGGTGCCAAGCATTTTAATTGGTAAAACAAGTGCCAATAAATACGGAGGGAATGTGAAGTTGTGGAAAAGCGAAATTGGTTAAAGTCATTCTTTAAATGTAATTCCTTTATCTGATAAGGGTCAAGCTATACTAGGCATATATAGCTCTCAAATGTATTCCAGTTAAGAAGTAAACTTTAGCTTGACAACGAGATTTACATTTTGTAAATTCAAACTTTCATATTGAGGTTTTTAAATAGCTTAATATTGATCGGATTTATTTCAAAGCTTGTTTATCTTAAAAAAAATTAAATATTGAAGTTACTGAATTAAATGTAAATTATAATGTAAAGCAACTATTTGATTTTTTCTTTGACATTTATAAATCATATTTATATTGGTCAATTTGTGAGTAACGATGTTGCCTTCGGGGTCACAAGTAAAGTCTTCAAAGTTTTAAAAGCTTAAAAAAATACGCGAATATTGATTCCAAATTTGTAATTAACACAAAACTGTGAGAAAAGTCATACAAAAAAAAACCTTTAGATATCATAAGATATCATAATCTAACCAATAAATATTAGCTTGCAAGAAGGTGTAAATTTCTGTAGAATTGCCAAACAATAAAAGTTTGCGCAACAGAAAAAATTTCACATATTTCTGTATGAAGACAAGGCGAATAACAGTCCCATAATATTTGTATATAGTTAAAAAAAAATTCCGAAATGCATACGCACTGGATTCGGATCCGTAGTCATGGAAGGGATTCCGGAGGGGATGTTCATGGGCGTCGGGAGGGGGCCGTCATGACATGCGGGCAAGTTTAAATTGATCTTAACGAAGCTTAATTGATTGTGACTGTGTGGGCATGTGCGTGTGACTTGCTAGAGTGTAGTCTACACTTGACGAAATTTTCGGAATGCAAATACCATCTATCGAAAGCAAGTAAAGTTAAGAACTCCATCTCTTTGAACAGTGTAAAGTGGACATCAGTTTTCTCGTTGGGGGTACTGGTATTACGGAATCCAAGCCCAGGGGCATAGTTGAAAAAATATTTTGGAGTGAGTCCAACTCGATAACGGTAAACATTATTTTAGGCAGATAACGTTTTCTTTAAAAATTAAAATATTATTTTTTTATACATTTAAATACAATTACAAAATAAATTAATTTGCAATTGTTATAATAGCAATTCCTACTCCAAGTAACATATTTTTTCTGTCAATAAAGGTAAAAAAAGTGAAATCAGGAAAAAACATACATATGTAGGTGAAATAAAATATAATTGTTTTTTCTTTTATAAAGAACCCCCGCCTAACCATTTTGACTAAACACAGTAAAAATCCAAGTTTATAGTTTCTTTATTTCAGATATCAACTGGTTTCATTGTTCACCACACAGCGTAGATCTGTTAATCTTTGGGCACGCCGACTTAAGACGAAAGATTTGCTAAGGGAAGTATGCCAATTCACAATGGGCTCTAATGAAGTACATGGTTTTTGGGGATGGATGGGTGGTATTCAGTGTCGCTTAGGCGTTGGCGAAGTCAATGCCCTTCTGGATGTTCTTCTTCAGCTCAGGAATGGCAGCCTCCAGCAACTTCTTCTCATAGTCGTTGAGCTTGGGCAGACCGAGGTTCTCCTGCACGCCGTTCTTGCCCAGCACCAAGGGTGTGGAGAAGAAGGTGGCCTCCGTCACGGTGGACTGAACGTACGAGCACTCGACCACGTTCTTCTCGCCATTGAGACCCTTCAGCAGGGAGCCGGCGAAACGGGCGCCAGCATAGGCCATCGACAGGGTGGCGGAGCCGGCTCCAGCCTTGGCCTTGACCACCTCGGTACCGGCCTCCTGGATGCGCACGGTCAGCTTCTCGATGGTGTCCTGGTTGCCCTTGAACAGCGGCTGGCTCTGGGACAGCACTGGCAGGATGGTCACGCCGGAGTGGCCACCGATCACGGGGATCTGCACGCTCTGGGGATCCACACCCAGGGCATGGCCGATGAAGGCACGGGCACGCACCACATCCAAGGTGGAGACACCGAACAGACGCTTGGGATCGTAGACACCAGCCTGGAAATACAAAGGGTATAAGAATTTGGTATCTTTAATGTGTTGTTTATCTCACCTTCTTGAGGATCTCGGCAGCGATGGGCACGCAGGTGTTCACCGGGTTGGTGATGATGGCCACCAGGGCCTTGGGGCAGTTCTTGGCAATGGAGTTGGAGATGTCCTTGATGATGCCAGCGTTCACATTGAAGAGGTCATCGCGGGTCATGCCGGGCTTGCGGGGCACTCCAGCGGGGATGACGACCACATCGGATCCTGCAAAAGGTACGTACACATATATTTGTCATTAATTGCACACACTTTGAGCTTTGCTCTTTTATGGTTTCAATCTCCGTGGCTACTGCGCTGATAAGTACCCGCTTTTGATTACGTCGTTATAAAAACCAATAACCTTTCAACGTCTTCAAAGTAGGTGCTATCAAAGAATATATTCTTTGCTGCTTATCTTATCAGAGCATAAAATTTGGTTCATGCAAATCACATGAAAAAGCTTTTCATTTATAGGAATAAAAGTTTTTAGAAAGTAATGGTTCCTTCGGTTGTTATTTTATTTATTTAAAAAAATATTGTTTCTATAATTCAATAATTGTTGTTACAACACATTTTTTACAAGCTAAGGACAAATTTATGAATTTTTTTGTTTTTATTTGGATTAATAAAAAACCTTTACGGAAATTTCAATTTCAAGGGATACTATTGTTAAATGTCTTTAGAATAAAACCGGAATGAAATCAATATTGACATTTATAATTTCTAAACTAATTGTAATATGTTAGCGATATTTAAATTTTGATTTATTTACCTTTGACTAAGTTTAAGCTCACATATCAATGTGATTATAATTAATTATAAAATCACAGGTGATGTATTCTTATGTTGAATTAAATAAATTTAATTTTTGTAAAAAGTCATGGTTAATAGTAATTATTAAATAATTGTTTCAAATATACTCAAGCGGACCATTAAAGCTACAAGTTAAGTACATATCGTGAGTGATAGCGGCTTATCCCCTCTTCCCCCACTAATCCCCTCTTACTCTTAGCAAATTTTCCACTCGTAGCCCCCAGTCACATAACCTCACTCGCGGCCCCTGCCCTCTACTCACCCTTCAGGGAGTCGCCCAGCTGGTCGGCACCGATGAATCCGGCGGTCTTGCTCTTGGTGTCGATGTGGGACAGATCGGCGGCCACACCGGGCGTATGAACAATATCGTAGAGGGCCAAATCGGTGACCAGGGGATTCTGCTTGAGGAGCAGCGACAGCGGCTGGCCAATTCCTCCAGCTGCGCCGCAAACGGTCACCTTGTAGTTGTTCTATATCGGAAATGGAAAATATATAACCCAGTGTTATGTCAGGTTTCATAAATATAGGCTCTAGCATCTAGATGCAGTATCATCCGGCTGTTACGTAAACAGTTGCAGTGAAGTGGTGGTGGGGCCATTCTGGCCGGGATTTCGCTAGATACGATGCTCACCTGCTGTCCAACCGAAAAGGTGCGCACTCCCTGCAGGGCCAATTGCTTCGTCACTTGCTTCAGCATATTTGAAGGGTTATTTGGTACAAAATATTGGTTAAGCAATTAAACGAGAGCAGTTCTGCCAGCAAAATCCCACGGGCCAATGAAGCAGATTTGCAAATCTAGTTGTTGTTGTTGTCGCCGCGGCGGCGGGGGTGAACAGGGTTGCTTTTGGTAAAAAGCTTTCACTTAAACAAAAAGCTTTTGCCAAAAGACTCGAAGATTGATGATTTAATTGGATAATTTTAAGTGATGAAACCGATTTTTGTTTTTTTAATATCTCTGGGCAACTCTCTTCCCGCTTAACATTTTTAAATTTGCTCATTTTCCGTTGCTCACAATTCGCCGCCAATCATAAATCTCAATTCAAACTTGGGTATATCGATAGGCATACAAAATAGTTAACAGTCGAAAATAACTGCCAACTTATTTGCAGATACCTTTGGCACTTTTCAGCACTATTCTTCAATTGAGCCGGAGAAATTTATTTATTTTTGTTTTTTCCTCTAAATGTTTATTTTATGCCACCAAATTCGGTTTTCAGAGAAATATAATCAAAAGGCTATCATCAAATATAAATAAAAGTATTTGAGAGACTGATAAACGTGTTGGTCTACCATCTGAATTTCTAACAAGATGGGATGTTGATGAGGTGAGATAAAAACATGACTCCCACATATTATTATTATTTATTAATTAACTGTATTCGGGCATTGGCAGTTTTAATGCAGATACAGTCAAACTAGCAGGTAAGATTTTACCCATAAATCCAAATATTATATTCCTTATAATCCGTATTTTACACTATTAGGTTATCTCAAAACAAACTACAAATATGTCATCTTTGCGCCTAAGCAAACAGCAGCGCGACCATTTGGGTCTGCTCCAGAGACCCGCCGCCGATGTGGTGGAACTGTGCAAGTCCGCATTCGATTACCTGATAAATGGACCCAATCTCGGCCGCTACGAGACGTTGGCCAAGAAGTACTCGGATTCGGGGAGCGCAGAAGCAGTACAGCAGACTGTGGAGGCGCTGATATCCTTGTTGATAAGCGTGACAACCCGGGTGGGTAATGGCTCCGTCAACATGCAGGCGATACTGCGCCAGACTTTCCCTGATCTCGGCGACGATGTGCTGGAGGTCCTTGAACAGTTTGTTACCAGCAAGCGAAATTTTGTGGAGGGCTCGATCAAGTCGGCCAATATACGTGCTTATCGGCTGGTCAACCTGGACTGGCGACTGGAGGTACGCACCGCTTCACGTAGTCTGCTGGAGCAGTGTCATGTGGTTGTGACCATGAAGCTATACCTACACACCGAACCCAAGAACGAAAACCGCGAACTGCTGGCCGTGGATATATCCGGACGCAGTGAAGCGGAGCTGAAGGCCATGCAGGAGGACGAGCGGTTGCATCGAAAAGATCTGCTGGTGCAGACAGATGTCAGCAGCCTGGTGCACATGATCAAAACGCTGGAGGATGCGCTAGCCGAATCCAAGACGCGGCGCATTCGCAACATAGTCGATGCCATACACTGATATGACTCCAGAACTCACACTCTTGTTAACGCTAATTTAATCTGGACCAATTTATTACTATTAAAGCTAACTAGAAAAGGGATTGCCTTGTGCTTGTGAGGCCGCCAGAGCTTCGGCGGCGGCTGTTTTTAGGGCAACCTTCTTTCGCTGGCGGTTCTCCTTCTTTTCCTCGGGCGTTTTGCGCAGCGCCTTAACTCGGCGCGTTTGAATGGAGCCCGTCTGTTGCTTGCCCAGATGGACACGTCCCTTGGTGTTGCCCAGGGCATCGGTACTGATGTTCTTCTTCTTGCCCACCCTCAGCTGTTTGGGCTGCTTGCGTGCCTGCTTATAGAGATCCTCGCTGGCGATTTTGGTACGACGGATGGCGAAATCGGCCGAAGGTCCGATCTCCTCTAACTCGATGCGCGGTGTCTTTTGGCCAGACTTCTTCAGCAGAATCCGGTAGGAACGCATTAGGATGTTCATGTCGTCGGTCACCGTGAAGCTGAGTACGTGCTCGATGCCCTGCAGGCGGATCGAGTCTACCTTTTCGCGCTGGAAAGTGTCGATGAACAGGTTGCGAAGGCGCCTCAGTTCCTCGGTTTGCGCCCATTTGGGTCCGTTGAACACCAGGCAGGGCTTAACGCAGGCACCAATCTTTTCATTCTTGAACTCGGAAATCGCCTGATAGCGCTTGATGCCCAACTCAAACATGTCCAGCACCTCGTTCTCAAAGATCCTGCCTAGGATAATGTTATCGGGTCGCTTTTTCGATGTGGAACCAAACGAGAACAGAGCAGCATCGTTCTTCATAGTCAAGCTGGAAATCAAGTGATGTTTACAGTTAAAAGGAAACAATTTAAGGTGTGTAAAACTTACAACTCCAGTGAGGAGGGATCGTCAAAAGGTGTTATGTCGTTCTTGCGGTTTAGGATCTTTACCAAAGGCTTCTTCAATGCCTGCAAATCCTTCATGCACAGCTTCACGTTACCCCCGCATTTCCGTCCGTCCAAAAAGAGCATTGTCCGGGCGGATTCTATCAGTTGTGGCTCCCTAGCCAGCAGCACCTTCTTTCCCTTGCGGGTTTTAGGTTTCCTGGAATTGCAATCGGTTATAATTTGTTATATTTTATTAGTTTGGTGTTTATAACTCACCTGATGTGTAAAAGCGACATATTTAAATGCTTTCTTAATTAAAAACTAAGCGAAATAAAGTAAAAATCAGGCACGCACGTGTAAAGACGCTGCGCGACTAGAGAAGTCAGAACATTGATAGCACTATCGATTGATGTGACGGGCTGACTCTATTCGATAGTTTTTAGAATATCGGATAAAAGGAAAGAAAATTTTAACTTTTAATATGTCTGTTTATTAAATTCTTATATTTAACATGTATTTTTTTTACAGTACTTCCCTATTTATTTAGAAGGCTTATGAAATATTTTAATTTTTTCTTGAAATTGAGCGCTAGATTACCATCTCCAACTGCACGCAACAGATGCCATTCCCCCGAAGAAAGTAGTGATTAAGTTGGTACTAACCCCGAATGGCAGTTACATGTTCGCCAGTACGTTTCCTTGTCGGTTCTATGTAAAGCATCGGGGAATGTTATAATTATGCTTCGCAGTGGCCAGAATCAAGGGCAATTGCTGGCCCGGAGCCTTGCGCAGCTGACCCGGGGAATAGCCAGTTCAAAAAAGACCACCAGAAAGCAAGAGAAACAGAGTCCTAAGCTGCCAAAGCGCCCGGTCGTTGAGATGCCGTTGGAGGAGCCCCTTAATGCCAATTATTTGTCTAAAACTCTGGGTTAGCTATCAATTTAAAGAATACTTAACCAGTAACTAAAGTCGATTTATAGGTAGCAACTATAAGGCCTGGGTGACTGCCCTGGAAAAGCACCCCGAGCTGAAGACGTTGAAGCGCAAAGACCTCATAAACTCCTACGACACGCTAAAATCCCTAAAGTATAGCGTGGACGACATCCTAGGCAAGCCAATGATCATCTACTACGGAGCTACCACACTGGCCAACCGGTACAGTGTCTTGCAAGAGTGTGGCTTCCACAACGTAACCATCCAAACGCTGGCAAAATATGTGACGGTGGTCAATAAACCAATAGAAGTCCTCAAGTCACACAACTACATCCCTTTCGATGTGAAGGTGGCAGAGCGTCTGGCGGGGCTCTTCACGGATATTAACCTGTCTGTGGATATGCGGGAGTTGGACAACGAAAGCATCACTTTGAAGAGCTTGAGGCAATCCCTTCTGAACGCCTACCTGCGCGAACGCTTAAAAATGGATGAAAGTGACCTGCAGAAGCTTTGGCGCGTCTACACCCGCGTCCGTCACAAGAGCTTTCGGGCCGTGCAGGACACTGTTGAACTTCTGACCAATGAGCTAAATTTTAGCGCCGAGCGGATAAGGAAGAACTGCTTTCTGCTCTACTCAGACGCGGATAATGTGCGTCGCATCCTGCGAGAGATACCTACCATCGACTCGCAGGACATCCGAGAAATCGGCTTCCGACGTCCCAAGATACTGATGTCCACCTGCGATAGTTTAAAGCAAACCCTGCAACATGTCAATGCGTTTGGCATCAGTGAGGATGCCGTCCTGCGCTGCCTGGAGGTGCTCACCCTGGGACCGGATACGGTGCTAGAGAGATTGAGGGATCTGCAGGAGATCGAAGAGTTTCAGGTGCTGGGCACCAATCCGCGAGTACTGCGATTGGTGCACTACCAAAACAAAGCACGGGTGCGTTTGGATTACCTTAATCAGCTGAGGGTCCGCTGCGCCTCCCTCCACATTCTCTCCTGTGGGTCCGAGGCGTTTGCTAAGTTAGTAATTATATATTATGTCAATCCATTAACCGTCACATAACTCCATCGCCCATTGCAGATTTGCCAGAGATGGTTCAGATCGCACTAAAGGTCGCGATATTGTGGTATACTTGGGTAAGGTTTTGTCCAAAGATGTACAAGTACTGCGCAATCTGCTCTCCCGTCATCCAAACTGGTGCCATATACCTTTGCTGCATGTAAAACAATGTCTGGAGTACCTTCGTGCCAAGAAGTTTAAGCTGAGTGAAATCTTTGCCAACATACACTTGCTTCTATATCCCATGTGAGTGCCAATATTTATTTTGAAAATATATTTCAATACCTTCCTCTACCCCCAGCAAACGCATTGAAGAAAAGCTGCATCTGCTGCAGTTGCCCGATGCCCAAGAAGAATTACAGTTGCCAGTGGCGGATTTCCATTCACTGAGCAACAACGAGATCCTGACTCTCATCCTCTACCTAATCGAATCTGAGTTTCACTTTACTGGTGATGGAATCTGGACAGAGCAACACACACATCACGTGGAAAACTTTAACAATCTGCTGCCTGACTTCCCCGAGAGTCTCAACAAGGTCTACAAATACGGGGTAAAACCTGCCGATAAGCTGGTCATGCAGCATTTATAGGCGCCCCCAATGGAATTGTAAATAGTTTGTTATTAGAATTTGCAGAAATAATGAAATCCAACTTTAAACTTTAAAACTTTGATTGGGTCCTCGAATTCGGACGATAAAGATTTGCTTCATTTGCAGCTGCAAAAGGAAATATTAAAAAGTCCTTATCTGATCCGGATATTTTTGTTGTTTTCGGAATTATTTGAAGCTTGTCGATTATCAGACTCATTGTATTGTCAGCCTCGGCTTTTTTTCTAATCTTTGCTTCTTTAGTTCATTACCATATATTTAACCAATTTTCGTAATGAATAGCATATATATTTTGGTTTTTTGATCTAATGATAAATTTTATAGATCCACTAAAAACACCCTTAAACCACTAAACAAAAAGAACTCAAATTACTCCGATTCCAACTTTAGAGCGGCGAAATCTGTCTCCGTTTCTGTGATTAGCTCATCCTCGTTTACTTTTAAGGGAGCGCATCGAGTCCAAAAAGTTTCGTCATCGCTGCCTGGCAGGGCTTCCCCGGGAAAAGTGTGCAACGACAAATCATTGAAAACATTGTGGTGTTCGTAGTCGTCCTCCAACGGTGTCTCTGTACAATGTTCCACTATTCTCGTTATGTGATCATCCTGGCTTTTCCGCATCATTGTCAGCATTTCAAAGCTATTTGAGATGAGAAAAACATTGGGCAGAGTGTCCCTTTTCCAGTTGGACCACAAGATGTTGTGCATCAGGGCGTATGGGCAGTGGGGCAGATAGTAGAGCGTTGGTACCTCCGCTTCGTGTTTACCTGCGCAGTCTTCGCTCATTAAACAACCCCCAAAGTGGCGGATTAGTTCTTTCTCGCTGTCCCTGAAAACGGGATCGAAGAAGAGGGCCTCCTTGATCTTGTGGTGCCGCTGAAGACCAATTACGAAGGCAGCCTGATGAAGGGCATGATAGGTGCGAGAGAAGGGTCCCAGGCCCAGGCAGACAATTCTTTCCAGCGGTTTTTTAATACCTTCCAGCTGCTGCTGCAGGGCTTCCATGGCCACCAGGAAGTAGTCGGTCTGGCACATCTCAGTGCACAAGTTTTCCAGACGTCTGAAAGTGGGTTTTGTTTTTCGAATCAGTGACTGTGGTGCGCTTCATATACTTACGGCTGAAATTTCTCCAAATTCACATCCGGGCAGTCGTTTAAATAGTCGCTCTCTGATTTGTGGCGATCCCGCCGCCTGAGGCACTTCCGGGCCATCCATTTCTTGCGCGTTACCACCTGAAAATCCTCGCCAGAGTTTGCCATTCCGAAAAGTAAATAAACACGTATCTTCTTCTTAGCACCTCGCCAGTATGACCGTTCATTCGCTAGTAGATTGATACACAGAGAAATAATAATTCAACATTGTCAACTCATTTTTGGTATGAATATTAAGGCAGCTTATTTAGATTGAATTAAAATACAAAAATAAAATAAATTTACGAAATGTATCAAATTATCAAATTTTTATTAAATTTATATAAATAATTTGATAACAATACCGGGTTGAAGACTTCTTTCGCTTTTCTTTTCTAGTGTATCAGCTGTTGTCTCTTCTGCTTCTTCCTGCAAATGAAATAAATTGTTTTTATTTGCCATGAACGACCCAAACAAAGCCATCAGTGTGAATTTGTCTTCTCTGCTCAGCCTGAAGGCAGAACTGCTAAGGAAGCAGCATGAAGTAAGATTGGCCAAGGCTACCAAGGCATCCGCCACCGAGTTCCGTCCCAGCAAGAGTAGCGCCGACAAGGAAAAGTCTACAGATCGCGGCTACAAGAAGGTTGCGAGCAACGATGACGGCGCCAAGGTGTACGAGGCGGAGGACTATGCTCAGTTGGACAAGTCCCGGCGTGTCCTGGAGGCCAAGAGCAAGTTCTACGACCGGATGACCCGCAGCGGCGGCAACCTCAACTCCGATGACAACTGCCTGGTGATGTTTAACCGCAAGAAACAGGAGGCGGACCAGGAGCAGCTGCCACAGAGGTGTGAACCCCGCCAGAGGCTGAGCAGCAGTAGCAGTTCCAGTGAAGAAGACGATGGCCAGGAAGATGACGAGGTGGAGTACGTTGATTGCTTGGGTCGCACAAGGAAGTGTTTGAGAAAGGAACTAAAGGAGGCCCAGCGACGCGACAGGCAGCTTGCTGACAGCATGCCGGAGCGTTTAGATCAGACCAAGGCCAACTGGATGATAGACACAAAAGGTAGCCGCGAGCATGACAGTACCCACAACAGCGATAACGACGATGATGGTGAGCCCATTATTGGACCACGGCCCACGGAAAGCGTATTCAGCGATGCCCTGTCCACGATGACCAAGCACGACGAGCAACGCTTAAACTGGGAGCGCAAAGAACAAGAGAACGTGGACAAACCCGATGTCCACTATCAGGATGTCTTCTTCGATGAGGCCCGCACCCACGGCGTTGGATACTATGCCTTCTCCACGGACGAAGACGAGCGCAGGAAACAACAGCTGGAGCTAGAAGAAGTCCGCAAGGCCACGACCGCGGAGCAAAGCCGGCGGGACGAGATGCGCGCCAAACGGGACAGCCTCGTGGCCGATCGCGTGCTGGCGGCCAAAAACAGGATAAGGGCACGCAACGGCTTGCCACCCATCAGCAAGGAGGACTACGAGCGACAGCAACAGCAAAAGAATGAAGAATCAATGGCCGAAACCGCAGAACGTGAGCGAGAGGAGCAGGAAAAGAAGGCAGCTATTGAAAAAAGAAAGGCAAAGGAGGAAGCAGAATTGGAGGAGTTACGCAAGGATCACGTACGGGATTGGGACAGGGATAAGCCTGGTGTGTCCAAACGACTTGACTCAGATGGCGAAGAAACTATGGAGGAAGAGTGGAAGTACAAGGCCGAGCGGCTGCCCATGTCGCAGGAGGAGTGGAACGCGAAGCAGCGGAGTCAGCGGCAATCAGAGTTTGCTCCCATGCCCGAGTCGGTTTCCCTCAAGCGCAGCAACTTCAGCAGTATGCCACCACCGCCGTCTTCGCATTGGCACAGTGGTCAGGAGCCGGAGTTTCACAACTTTCACAGCACTAAGCAGGAGAAAAAGTTCCAGCGGCGCAACTATACCGCTTGCAACCAAGACGATCACGATCAAGTATTTAGCACATCCGCCAGTGCTTCGGGTGCAGCTATACCTCCACCTCCAGGCTTAGATGACTCTGCTCCAGCGAAACGGCCCAAGTCCCAGGCCGATCTAGAACGCTCTATAGAAGCCGGCCTGCGGTTCCTGCGCAACAACTGCGACAAGGGCGTCCTGGGTAACAAGGCCACCTGGACGGCCAAAGCGGATTACTAAATTAAGGCAAGAGTTACCCTTCATTATTGTTTATTACTTTGTGTAAAGAATATTTTAGAAAAACGCCTAGACAAGCTTTCTATTGTCTGGGTTTTTGAGCTAAGTTCAACAAATGTATTGTTAATTTTAGCTACGGCTAGATCAAATAATGCATTCTCACAATTCCTGTTGAATTTAAGGCCCTGTGCCCAATTCTATTTCAATAAGATTAACATGTACAAAACGTTAGAACTGTACCTTTCCAAACCAAAACGTAGTAATTTTGCCAATTCAGCAGAGTTCGTTTGTAATCGAAAACGGGAAATAAAAATTAATAATTACAAATAAAAAATAAAAATTCTAATATATTTTGGCCTTGGTTAGTTTGCTCAACTAGCACTAAAAACTAAAAAGAGTAAATTGATCTTAAGAACAAATCTTAACTCTGTCGACACAATGTCGAATCTGGGTCGCAGGGCGGTGGAATTGGCTGCTATAGAAACATAATATAAACGTAGCGGTGGTACCCTAAACGTACAAAGTCTTGCTAAGCTAATGGTAATATTTACTAACTTGCATATAACTAAGGGTTAAGTGAGAATCAACTGGAGCACGCTATCTGAGCTAGTATATTATCGGTAATTGGTGTTTTAGGCAGACAGCAAGCTTTCCGTTTCGGTTGCAGTGTGGCCTAGAGCATGTCGCGATCCACCATATCTATGACTATCTCGGACATCTTCTTGCGGCACAGGTCGTTCGGTGGAAAGTTGAGCGTGGGCGCGCCTACATCCTCCTCGTGATCGTCGCTTCGTTTCAAGTACATATCCGGGGCGTCCTCCGAAGCGCAGGTGCTAATAGGAAGGATGTCCATCGCCAGGCCAAGAGCAAAGCGTCCGTAAGTCTTTAGCTCCTCGGCAAAACTAAAGCGGTGTGTAAACTATTAATGAACTGATCACTCTATATAAAACAAATCCTTACAGATCCTGCAGTTTCTCCAATGTATCGCAGTGATTCGGCAAAGTCGTGCACAGGATTTGCAGCCATCGGAACAGCTCCTCCGTGTACGTTTTGAGCAGTGTCTGCAGCTGCGCATCCCGCATCTCCTTCGTGGTACAGCAGTATAGCAGATTGGCAATGTCTAGGGCGATGGAGCTGTAGCGTATCAGCTGGAAGTCAAGCAGAGCCACCTCCAGCACCCGCTGTGGGTCCTCCGGGTCGTAGTGGTACAGAAAGTTGTTCACCCAACAGTCCCCGTGGCAGATGGCCGACAGCGGGGACTCGGCGCTGGCCAACTGCACCATTCGGCCGAAGAAGGAGGAGCTCTCCGCAAAGTTGCTGATGGCCAGGACATACTTGGAATCCGCGGGCAGGACCTCAGAAACCATCTGAATGGCGTTCTTGGTGAGGCGCTCGTAGTAATTTCGATACCAACTCGTGTTGGCCGTACAGAAGATGCCCTCGCTGATGACGCTGCACAGTTTGCTGAATTCCAGCGGATTTTCGAACTTGTACGCCAGACTGAGGGCATGCAGCTGGGCCACCTGCAGCAGGACGGACTGCGTCTCCTCCAGGCTGAGGCCTTTGTGGCGGTCAGACATCTGGAAGCCCCGTTCGCGAAGATCCTCTACGGATAGTCAAGGTTTTTTTAAGTATTTAAAAAATATTCTAAAGCTTAGATGAAGCATCTGTTATAAAAAAATCAAATCAAAACAAATATAAATTTGTAAAGCAAGAAAAGTATATTTTTATATTTTATTAGCATACAAAAAAAAAAGAAGAGTTTTGTACCAAAAACAGCAATACTAGACATATATAAAAGGAATAAAAGTTACATAAGAGTTTTCAGATTATCGGAAGTTACAGTTTATAAAAATATTTACATATATGATTAAAGGGTTATGAAATATTTGATTTTGATAGTTACCCATTATGAGCAGATCATGTCTGGCCGAATAGCACTTGGGGATGGCACTGAACACGGGTGTTTCCTGGTCCGTTTTGCTTGCCTGGAACTTGAGCAGCTCCGGCATGATGGTAGTGTAGAACTCCACCTCGTTGCTGTCGAATGAGCGGGAATCATTAGACAGGTAGTAACAATAGGGCGCTACAGCACTCACCGGAAGAGCTTGTCGCTCTTGTAGGCCTCCCGGGCGACCAGGCTCTCCGGCATCACCTTACAGATGACGTTCTGTTCCCACTTGAGACTCCTTCGTTTTCCGGTAAGTTTTATGCGATACAGGGCGGCCGTATAATTATCACCCCGGTCGGAGCCCTGGGCCAGCTGACAAAAAAATTACATGTGTGAAAAGATGTCATAACCGAAAGTCTCTCGCCCCCAATGTCCTTACCTCAAAGGCATCTATCTGCACTTCCGGTTCCACGTGCTTAAAGATGTCCTGGAACGCCTCGAGCGACAGTATTTGTTTGCCATCCACTTCGTTTGCCGCTCCCATTCCGGTTTTTGTTGTTGCTGTTGCTGCAGTCTCCGTAATTCCCATTTTCCCAGGAGCCCTTGTTCTTACAGGAGTCCCTTTTTCGCTGTTCCGTGTACAGTGTGTGTTAATGTGTGTGCACGCTGCACTTTTCTGTTTTCAATTCCCGGTGTTAAAGTTTATTCATCGATTTTACTCGAACAAACCCCGCTACGAAATTCTTCTTCTTATTTTTTCGTCCTTTTTCTTACGTTTTTCGTGCTTTCGTAATCCTTTACGTAATTGCAGCCCTGAGCTTTACGTAACGCAACACGGTCCTACGTTGCTATTTCGTATATATTAGTTGGTGGTAAATTTAGCGAACTAAATTTTAAACGATAAACTTTATATATATTTATATTTTTTATTTATATTTATATTTACATATCAAATAAAAAAGATAAAAATCATTTTAAATCAAAGCTTGCGGCGATTTTTGAGCGTTGCCATACTTTTTGCTATTCAAACAATCCAAATCTGTCAAATTATTAAAAAAAATAAGACAACGGAACATTTGCTGGAATTTATTTTATCTAATAAATTTCACTGAATTAAATCATTGCAATTTGGAAATATGAACGAACAGTGTTATCTAACCAGCAAGTACCTGTTTTCAGGTGAACTTTTGGAGCAGTATATTTCGTCCACCCCATGCGAAAATATACGCAAGATGGAGCAGAGTTACACTGACATACACCTGTATGGAAAGGGTTCTTCACAGCAGTTGGTGCCATCAGTTCCTCCGACAAGTCAACTTGGTTGCCAGGAGATTACCAAGCTCGTGTCGCCCAGCCACAATTTTCCCAAGGAAAATAGCCGGGGAAAAACTTCAAAACGTTTGAGCAAGAAATGCCGTTCTGAATTGCGTCGGCATATTGCTTCGAATCTGAAACGTGGACTCTACAATCTTAAGCCGTTATTGCACCGGCGATGTAAATTTTGTCGCCATTTTTTGCCTATGAATATAAGGCAACACGAAATGATGTGCCAAAATGTGTGGAAATTTTTTGAATTTGGTTGCCCATGCGGTTATTTGAGTTCATCATTCAGATCCATTGGAAACCACAGTCGATCCTGCCATGTAGGTCAATATATCAAAAATATAGGGATTACTGGTTGGTTCCCATACGTCAGCACCGAATGGAAGAACTATTTGTCCCATATGGTAAAAGACTTGAAAATATATATTGTTCGCCCTAAATTTAAGGAATATTTTCCCCAGCAACAGCTAGCACCAGCAGATTATCCAGATTATGATTGTACGCCTATTGGAAAATGAGGATTTCAAGGTCCAAAATTGTCGTTTCTAATAAGGATTACGTGCTTTTAAATAACTAATTATAAATAAACTTAATGATTTCAACAAAAAAAGGTGTTTATTGCAAAATTCCCAATCTAAATGGGAACGCCAGACGTATAAAAATAGATGTAGGAAACTGTGAAATAATCGTAAGATCATTTTCTTGCTGGTCGTTTTTAAGACTTATTTTAAAAGTTATAATTAAGCTATATAATTATGTACAAATTGGAAACTCCTTTTCAATTAAATACCAAGATTCGATACTCTAATTTACCCTTGTGCTGCAATGGTCATATCAATAATACCTTCAGTGCCCTACCTCAGCAAAATGCTCTGCATCAACGATGCATCAGCAGCTGGAGGGTACATGTAATACCCAATAAGTTCCAGCCAAAGGGCTCCAACAATACCTGCAGCCTGTGAGTCCTCCAAATCGACAATTAGTTGATCCTCCGCAAGGAGGAGATTATTTCTAGGTATTAGTTTCCTTTCAGTTTTCACTTTAAATATTAAATTAAATTAAAGTTTTTCAGGCTCGAGGTCAAGGGTTGGCCTTAAGGCAGGCTTGCACCTTGTGAGGTCAAAAAAAAATTTTTTTTTGCAGTTTCGGATACATACATGTTTTAATTTTACTCTCCTAAAATTTCAAGTCGAAATCTCTTGAATTACGAAAGTTATCGGCCGTTTGATGGACCGGTGTCAAGCGTGTTGCCATTATAGTGCAAATTTTCAAACGCGTTTTTCTCGAAACCATGTTTTCCGAGTTGGCGAAAGTCGTACAAGCCGCAAAAATTGAGCAATCGTCATGAAATTTTTCCTCAGAAGTATGTGCATGGCATAGACTAGGATCTTTTGAAAATATTAAAATCTGTTTATTTAAAAAAATAATGAGTAACGAAAAAATGAGGAAAAAACCGATTTTTTTTTCAAAAGCTCATAATTTTTGCTTTTTTATGTTTTTTCAATTATCCTAGTTCAAGCCATGCGAGCAAGTGTACAGATTAAGAATATATTCGTTTTTTGCGTTTCAGATTATTTCTTAAAATTCCAAAAAATCCGCCATGAGGACGAGTTTTTCGCGGTCATGCCGCCATTGTTGGGTACTCCCCCTCCCCCCTTCGCTTGGATCGCACTCAAAAAAATTGTGTAGCTTCAATAAACTGTACCCTACAACTGGCTAAAATTTTATTCTCACACCTACCATACTTTCCAAGAAATAAATTCCAGAAAAAAATCAGGTTTTGGGCGCCAACAAGGTGAAAGCCTGCCTTAAACAATTTTTGTTATTTTTTGTAAATTAAAAATAATTTTGTTCGAAGACGGTTATAAAAGATGTTCCATTTATTTTTATTAAAGTACGATTATTATGTATATTTTATAATTGATTTGAAGCTTACATAGTAGTCTAGAAAAAGTGAACATTTAATGTTATTAGTATTACAAGACGCTAATGCTACCATTGTGTATTTTGGAAAATGACGCTGCTTCTGTTTTCCAGGCTTATAAGCCGTGCTGGACTTGAGCGTTTTGAACGACATCAATTTACGAGTACATTTAGATTTAGAACCTGTAGTCCCAGCCGACGCGGGATCAGTCGATAAAAGCAAAAGAACTCATATCTGGGTTCAGGCCAATTTAAGCTGGCCTATTTTTGCTGGAAAATAAAGAAGTGTTCTTAGTTAAAAAACAAGAAAGGAAAGCTAACTTCGGGCGGAGCCGAAGTTGATATACCCTTGCAGAATATTCTGTAAATTATATTCTCCAAAATTATTTATATGATGCATTCTTAATACTCATAAAAAATCCCAACTTCCTAACTTTAAAAACACCAAAGTTATGTCATTTCCAATCGTTCAGTTATGTATATGGCAGCTATAGAATATAGTCGGCCGATCCTTATGAAATTTGGCAGGTCGGATTGATTGCCCAAAAATAAAACCCATAGATATTCCCAACTTCCTAACTTTACAAACACCAAAGTTATGGCATTTCCGATCAATCAGTTATATGGCAGCTATAGGATATAGTCGTCCGATCCTAATGAAATTTGGTAGGTCAGACTGATTTGCCAAAAATAAAACCCGTAGAACTTCCGAACTTCCTAACTTGAAAAACACCAAAGTTATGGCATTCCCGATCGTTCAGTTATATGGCAGCTATATGATATAGTAGCCCGATCCGGCTCGTTCCGACTTATATACTACCTGCAATAGAAAGACAACTTTTGGGAAAGTTTCAAGCAGATAGCTTTAAAACTGAGGGACTAGTTTGCGTAGAAACGGACGGACGGACAGACGGACAGACGGACGGACAGACGGACATGGCTTGGTCGGAAATGTCTCCTTCACTGCGTTGCAAACTTTTGACTGAAATTATAATACCCTCTGCAAGGGTATAATTATACCAATATATTTATTAGCTGGTATGGTAACGATACCGAAATTGAATCAACTTTGCTATTTTTAAATGTAATTGTAATGGACACGAGTGTACAAATATATTTTTTGACAATTTATGGCCCAGCTTTAGTAATACAGAAATAAGGACACTCACCTGAAAAAGTTTATTGTGGCTGTTGATTGGTCACCAGTCCCATGTCCTCCTGCACTTTCGAGACCAGAGGAAACGGTCTCTGTGGCCAAGTGCGACGTTGGAGCAGAGATTCTGCCCTGGCCAGTTGGCGCTGCAAAGCCTCAATTTTGGGATAAATGTGCTGCTCCACAAACTCAGTCACGGTGTACTCGTCGTACACCTCCCACAGCAGCTGCTGTGCCTCTCGCGCCATCATCCGCAGCTCCTCGATGAGCATCGGCGACCTGGCGGTCAGTTCCCGCACTCTTAGCGGCGAACTGAAGTTGTGCCGCACATTGTAGTCGGAGAGCCAGGCGCTCTCGTCGCGGGTTTGCTGCAAATAGAGCCCGATCTCGGCCAGCTTATCGAACAGGCGAAGGACATACTTGTAGATCATGTGCCCCGGATAGTTGCAGACAGCGAAAAGCTGGCTGTGATGGGCATTCGGATTGAGTTCCAGCCACGGATGACCAGATCGCCGGCTGTCCGGCTGGATGGCGCACTGCAGGACACGAAGCAACTCGTTGTCTTTTGGGTTGGTGCTAAAGTAGCCCTTGGAGACGGTGGACAGCGACGTCATCAGACTGGGGATGCCCACCGGCAGTAGTTCACAGAGAACGGCGAAATGATCGTATCGCTGCCAACCGGTCAGGGCCAGACCTCGCAATCCCTTGGAAAAGCGACCCCCCTCCTTGGCAATCACCGCCAGCCAGCGGATGTTGTTCTCCAGATGTTGCTGCAGCGGCGGCACCATCAAGCTCTCCCCGAAGGCTCCCTTGTAAGAGGACGCTGTCCAGGCGCCGGCGAAGACCTTAGCGTAGGTGTCCCACAGCTGGGGCTGAATGAAGCGGTAGATGTCGCTGGCATACACCCACACCATCGGCTCCACGTAGTTCCCAATCTGCGACTGCTGTAGCTCGCTGAGTGACATCGATCGCAGCTGGTCGTCCCAGATGACCACTCCCAGTTGGGGCCACTGACGGCGGATGAAGTGCGCCAGGCTGACCACGTGCGAGAGGAAGAGCTCACTGCGCAGCCTCTGGCGGCAGGAGGAGCACTCGCCCATGCGCTGCACCTCGTCGCACCCGATATGGATGTGGGTGAACCGGATCGGTGCGGTGGGAGCGGCGGAGGCGGGCGTCGCCTGGCCCAAACACTGCAGATGCAACTCGATCACCTGGGTGATCATCTGTTCCAGCAGCGCCGTACTCTGCGGCTTGCTGGGGCAGATCGACTGCGGACTGACGGACAGCTCTCGGAGTTGCTCGAAACCGGACAGCTTGAGCACGTACTCCATATGCCCGAAAGTTTGGACGAGGGGCATCACGGTCAGACCGTGGACAGCAGCACACTCCAGGAAGTCCTGCAGGGAAACATTTTAACATTTCATAAACAAGTCAATATTTTATAATAAATATTTATAAGGTTGCCTCAGAAATATGTAATGGTTTTCAGAAAAGTTATTGAATAAAGCCGAAGTTTTAATACCCTTGCAAACTTTGCCGATATTGCTAGAAATGAAAACGTAGCGAAAGGAATAAGGTATATTGTTCCTATGGGAGCTATAGGATATAGACGTCCGATCGCCAAGCGCTTTTACCCTGATCAAGGTATGCACAAAAAAACAAGAGAGAAAGCTATAGTCGGGTGCCCCGACTATCAGATACCCGTTACTCAGGTAAAGAAAGTGCGAGGGAGATGGAGATAGAAACTTTGATCACGCATAACTTTTTAACGAATGGTCCGATTTGAAAAATTTCTTCTACATTTCGATAGGTATTGATAAACACAATAAAACTGCATTTTTACTTTTCCGAAATATTTAAATTTTTAAAATCGTATATAAGCGATTGTGGGCGTTAAAGGGGGCGTGGCACCTTTTTGAAACAAACTTGCGCTGCGTAGGAACTCCTAGAATCTGCATGCAAAATGCCAATCTTCTAGCTTTTATAGTTTCCGAGATCTCAGCGTTCATACGGACAGACAGACAGACAGACGGACAGACGGACAGACAGACAGACGGACATGGCAATATCGACTCGGCTAGTGACCCTGATCAAGAATATATATACTTTATAGGGTCGGAAACGCTTCCTTCTAGCTGTTACATACTTTTGCACGAATACAATATACCCTTTTACTCTACGAGTAACGGGTATAATAAGATTTGGAAAGATTTATGTTAATAGCTTTTACACTGCGCGAAACATCTTCCATTCTTGCAAGATATATCCGATTGTTCCTATGGGAGCTATAGGATATAGACATCCGATCGGGGCGGTTTTCAAACTTGATCTGCGTACATATGTTTTAGGACGACTATGAAAGTTTCGGATCGCTAGCTTTTAAACTGAGCTCGCAAACGGTATTGAAACAGACGGACAGACGGACGGACGGACATGGCTATATCGAATCCTCTATTGATCCTGATCAAGAATATATATACTTTATGGGGTCGGAAACGTCTCCTTCACTGCGTTACAAACATCTGACCAAAATTATAATACCCTCTGCAAGGGTATAAAAATAGAGAGATTTCTTAACCACTTATATTTGACTTTCGGTAGAAATTTAAAATTAATTTAAATTTCTGAGACACCCCCGAATATGGCTCCTGGACCCACCTTCAGTTCATCCTCCTTGTAGGCATTTCGCGCTGCCAATGGCTGGAGAACCCCGCTGTAGGGGAACATGTCCTCGTACTCGATGAGCAGACCGGTGGCCCCCAGGGCACGCAGCATGGGCAGCAGTTGCTTGAGGAAGCCCAGCTTGGGCGGAGCGCCCTTGAGATCCAAATGCACCAGACGCTCGGTGGGAGCCTTCGGGCCATCGGGCCCAATTCCAGCCACCACCGGCACCCCCATCCGCTGGAGATCGTGCTCGTACTGCGTCTGCCGCTCCGCCGAACTGAGCATTCGGTCATCCTCTCCGTTGGCATTCAACTCCTCCATCCCGGCGTTCTTCTGACGCTGCTGCTGCTCAAGGATCTTCAGGCGCTCCTGCTCGAATAGATAGCTCTCGGACATGGGCAGCGGGGCCTTCTTCGCTTGCGTGGGTCGCAGGAATCGCACGTTTCCCAAGCGCTGGACAGGCGAAGGTGACTTCTCGATGGCGTTATCCTTGAGTCGCTCGGCTCTCAGCACCCTATTGGCCTGGGCAATGAGCTTCTGGATGATGTGCACCTGCTGGTAGCCAGAGGACTGCTGCTGCTGCTGTTGGCGTTCAGAACTGGAGGAGGCGGCAGGTGGCTGCGAGGCGGTTGTCGTATCGATTAGTATTGCCCAAGTCCAAAGGCCTAGAAGCACCAGGCCAGACACTACGAGCAGAAAGGAAAGTTTTCGGCGCCAAATAAATATCCACAGATTTGAGTGCATCTGCAGTGGGAAAAATTAGGGAAAATGGCAATTAAAAACTATGGCAAAATATCTATTACATCGGTAATGTTTGTAGATTGCCAGCTAGGGGCTGTTTATATATTAAGTAACTATTAAATGTAACATATTTGATTATAAGTAATGGGGAGGGGTCTTCAAAAATAAAAGTAATGCTATATTTTTGGTCGCAATATATAAATTTTTTTATTTAACATTATATTTTTAATTGTAACATATAAATTTGTTTCCTTATTTCTCTTAGCAATTTTTCCTTGAATGTAAGGTAGTGGTGAGATGAAAGCCACTGCAGTGCAAAGTAAATACTTGCATCACTTTTCATAAATATTTGAAGATCCAACAAGTAGCCCCCGGAGTTATGCTATATAAATCCACCCACAACTGGCGCCAACAGCCGCACGTTACTCATACGCCACCGTAACGGGCAGAGCAACTCATTGAGGTTGAGTTAAGGGCTGTTTCCATTGTTGTTCTTGCAGTTCTTGTGGGTCCCCTGCCTTTGTGTTTGCCCAACTCCTGCGGCTGTGCACCATGGAATCGAGTTCAGAAGACTTTCAACTGTGGCCAAAAAACTAGATACTCGTATATATTATTTATGATTTTTAGCAGTAAATCATTTGCGGTTAAAAGGAACAGTCGAGAGCTGCTTAGTTTTCATGGCTATTTCAATATTTATTTTCGGTTTTCTTTCGAAATCCCCATTTTATTGTTTTTTTCTTGTTACCGTGAAAGTTTTTTGCTTTGGACCACAGCAACAGGGAAAGTGGTTTGGTCTGGCTCAAGCTTTAATGGCTTGGCTGATAGTTTGCCCGCATTCGTTTAAACAGCCACAACTGGCAGCTTATTTAAATGAGTCTCTGGCAGAGTCATAAAAGCAGCTTGCTCAGGCATCTTGCATAGGTGGGGATATCGTACAAATAGGCGGATAAGAGTCGGCGATATATAGGAGTGCAGGATGGCAGACGGAAACCAGCAAAACTAGCACGCTTCGACAGGCGATAAATGCAAGTGCTCAAGTGGAAATGTGCAGCTGTCTGGCTGGCGGAAATTGAATTGAGTTTTCACTGGGCTGCCAGTGGGTGGTGGGTGGCTGAGCGTCGTTTAGGCCACTTCTCACTCGGTTCGTGGTTCGTGGTTCGTCAGTGGCAGCAAAGACAAACGCGGAACAGTTTCCAGTCTTTGTGGACACTAGTTAGTCGGTAGAGTGAAGTGGTTATGGTGGATATTCGGTGTGACCCCCCAAAAGGTTTTTTAATGAGAAGTTTGCTGTCTTTACTAATTGTTAAAGAAAATATTTGCATTACGAAAAAAATACAAAAATACGAAGAGGAAAAAATTGTTAATCAGTATAAGTGCCTCTGATTTACTATTGATTGGAATTTGTCTGTCGATTTGGTGTATGAGTAAACCATTTTATAACATAAATTCACTGCTTGTTAAAATATCAATTCGACCACTTAATTCAAGAGAAATATAATTTATAGTAATAAAGTTTCACCAATTTTATATTGAAAATAGTTGTATATTTATTTTTATATTTGTATATTTACTTTTGTTGCAGATTAAAAGCTTATAATTTCCAAAATTCACTATTTACTAAAAATCAAACAGAGCAACATATTATTGACTTTACCTGCAAATGGTATAAACTCTTATTAATTTTTCAATCGAATTTTAAGCACTAGCCACACAGATTTCGTGACTTTAACCAATATTCGTCATCAATTTTGCATTTGGTAAATACGCAATCGAAATACGATTACTGACCCATTTGGCTTAATCCACAATTGCATTATTTCGCTCTCGCTTTCTCCTGACTTTTCATCGTATGTTTTTGCCAAAATTATTCCAAATGAAAGGAGGCAAGGGGAGGAGGCCTAGAAATCGTGTGAGTTTCTCTTTGCTATATCTATATTTTCCCAGCCACAACAACTACTTTGAATGGGTGCTCTCGTTTTTGAGGCGCTTTGTTGGCTAAAGTTCCTGCCAAGGATGCAAAAACGGAGAGACCAACATTGCAAACAGAGGCGTCGGAAGGGGGTGATGTGTGTGCGGTGATATGAGCCAGAAACAGAACAAGCACCCTCATTCGCCTCTTCTTTCATGTCCGATTTCACACTCAGAAATATTAAAGTTTATTTGCAATCGAGAAGAAAGTGTTTACAAATGGAAAGTATAAAAAGAGATTCAGGGAAATGTTTTCAAATAAGTGCGAGGGTCATTATCCTTGATTAAAACTAAACTAAAAAGAACACAAGTAATTGTCCTTTAAATTGAAATCTATATTACAATTTCTGACTTAATAATTCAAGAATATAGCTATAATTTCAGTTGTTGGGATAAAACTAGTATACAATGCGGTAGTGCAGGCATTTCATGATATTACTTTTAAGGCTTAGTATAAATTGTTCTTAAGAAAATTTCTTCTGTCAGTGCACACAATTAATGCTTTCACTTTCTGTGTTCGTTACAGGCAGATCCTGACAAGACACGGTCCCGACAGGACAATGGATCGGTGCTAATTGCATTCGGCTCGTCAGACAGAACCGAAAACAGTTTGGGGCGACTGTTTCCCAAATTAAATGTAATTGCGCCGCAAAACCGACAGGCCAATTTGCAGTCGCAATTCACGGCGTCCCTGGCCAGGCGTTCGTCCAATTCCTGCCTGCCGGTGACCTCCACCCACTCATTCAATCTAGAGCGGTGCCAGAAATAGCAGCCATGTCCTGAACAACCCACCAAATGCCGCTGTGAAGTGTCCGCCCACCGCACTATTTGGCAGTTTGCCACAAAAATAAAAACGAAACTGAAGTATTTTCGAAAAAAGAAAACACCCAAAATATGAAACATGAAAAATCCTTAAAGCGGGCTCTGACGGGAACTCAAAATGCACTGAAGCGGTGTTTATGACGCTCCATTCGCAGCGCTAAATGGAATTCTATTGGAATTATTCAACTGGGCATCACACATTTTTTAAATTTTTAAACGCAACTTTTTAAATTCGTAAATTAAAGCTATTACTATGGATTGCACAATTGTTTTTTGACTGCAGCACACTAAAATAATATGTACAACATGCTATCAAAAAAAAATCTGTTATAATTCCGTGCGCAGGTTAATAAAAACTGACAGGTTTTTAAATGCTTCGACACATGGAAACCTTTTAAAACTTTTGTGATTTAAATAGCTCAGTCGCACAGTCAATTGTTTTAAATTAAAAAGTAGTAAAGTGTGTATTTAAATTTGTGTGTAACTTATTTGTTGAAGTAACTGATATATGTTTTATATGCAGTCTTCAGTATACATACTATAACTATTAATTTAATGAATAATATTCTAGTCATGGACCCTCAAAATCCAGTAAAGATTTTTGTAACAGTATGCAAATTTTGTGAGGATGGTCGACTTTTCTTTATACCACTCTAGGGTGCTGCTCCTGCTTCTCCATTCAGTGGCTTTCGCGACGCTTATATTGCATTCCCTACTCTGCATTTCAAGCAGCAAAAATTTGCCTGCCTTCGCAATACAAAAGGGGAGGGAGAAAGCCATGGCCAAGCTGCCTTAACTTGGCTTTAAGGATAAAGCTGCCGGTCAGCCCATAGCTCACTTTTGTGGCCCCTTAGCACAAGTGTACACGGGAAACAAATGCGATACTATATTTAGGACATATATTTTTCCACCTTTGAGATTTGATAAAGGGGGTATCCAATATAAATGAAAGCACTCTGAACATATATAATAAATAAACACACCTTATCTTAAAGCGAAACTGGTTTATTTTTAAATATAAGGCAACCGTTAAATTCAATAGCAAATTCTCTGGATTTTAAGAGTTTGTATTTTTCCTACTGTATTCCATTTTATCAGAGGAACTAGAACTTCTATATTGTATTCTGCGCTTGACACGCTCCATGTGCAAATCGTGGAGCATCATGTTCTGTAAGTAGTAGGGGTTTTCATTGGGTCCCAGCTCCGGAAGGTATCCGTTCACTCCTGGTTCCAAGGAGTCGTCGCTGTCCATCAGCGGAATGCTGCAACTGCTAATGCTATCGGCGTCTTGAATCAGGTGCATGTTCTTGAAGCGCTTTTGGAAAAGCCCGGAATCGCTGGATGAATCGTCTTCTAATTTACGTTTCAGATTATTTAAAAGTTTAGCCATTCCGTTACGGTTTTTTATACTGAGTAAGTTGAAAATAATTTTATTCAGAAAGTTTTATACATTTGTATGTACTCTCAAAGTGTTATAGATTTCAGAGACAACTAGATAAACTCCTGAGGGGAATTTTATTGAAAGAGCTTTTAAAGACACTAATTGTAATGCCTTAATTATTTTATTTTTTTAGCTTTAATTAATTAATAAATAAAACAATTAAACTATTATTTTTTTTTAAAATTAAGAACAAATAAAACGGAGTAGTCTGTCTTTTCTAAATTTTCTCGTGGTGTACAAAATGTTGAAAGGAGGCTGAAGCTGAGTATAGTACTTGGGCTTGCAAAATATTGTGCTAGTTTCTCCCTCCTGTAGCTTATCGGTCTGAGAGCCATAATCGGCAATTAGGCCATTTAACGCCTTATTAACGTCCATTAGCAGGCGGCCACTAATGGACGATGATTCGTGGGCCAACTACACCAGAGAGTATCCATCTTTTCCCCATTTTCGGATGCTTTCTCGGCCAGGCTTAAGATGCCTCGATGGCCACTCAAATAAATTTCACCAGCTCGGAAGTGCAGCACTTGTGCCTGGGGAGAATGATTGAAAATGGTGTTGAGAATTCTAGGATAAGAGGAGCAGGAGCTCGATAGGATTGCATGGGATTTTCCAGTTGAAATGTATCAGGAAAATCAAGAGTAATAGCTAAACCAAGGAAATATATAGTCAAGGATTGCCTGGATACGATTCCAAATGTATATGCTTCAGTGTCTATCCAACTCTATATTTATAAACTAACAGCCAGAAATGCAATGCCATAAAGCACTTTAATTCCGCCATAAGCCCTTATATTTTTGTTGGCAACGGAATGGCACCGAAATTGGCAATCAAATGCTTGCAAATATATCACCATACCCACTTTCCCCTCCCTCAGTCAAATTTATAATTGGGAAAGCAAACAGATTGCGAATGAAAATGAGAGCAAACAAAAAAGAAACGAAACTTGTCGCCAGCTGTAATGAAAATATTCTGATTAACCAGTTCTCCATTTCCCGACCATTTTCCCCCTCTTAACTAACAAAGTTGCCGTGCTCCAGCGAAACTTGGCAAAAGCTTCAAAAATTGTCTGCATTCCTGGCCAGTCTTAATAAAAACGTTGTTACCTACTTCATAAGTAGATTATAACTGCAAAAGTTTAGAGAGAAAAAATACCAGCGGAGGAGGAAAAAGAAGGTCGGGAAATTGAGGGGGAATTAGAACTCAGCATCCATAACCGTGCAACACTCAGTTTGTCCGCTCGAAAGCGCTAAGCAGCAAAAATAAAAAAGCAGAAAGGAAAAAGGAAAAAGCAAAACTGTCACAGCAACAGCTGCAGCGCGTGTTAAAAACTGAATCCATAAAAAAGTGTCACTTTTATTGCCTCGACTATGCGACACCATAAAATAACAATCTGGGAATGCATATAAAGTGTTTATATGCGACACAAAAGAGTAAAATGCCGTTAAATTATCATAGTTTGTATTTAAATATTACAAAATAAATATGAATAAAATTTGAATTTAATTATTAAATATTTAAATTAATTAAACCAATTAATTGTTGTCTTTCAATTAGTTTGAATAAGTTTAAATATGAAATGCTGGAGTATTACTTGATCTTGAATAAATTAAAATTTCATTATCTAAATTTTCTTAACGTTAAATTTTAAAAATTTCAAGGCTTTTTGATTTTTTTCAATATACTGGCAGCAGCTAAAGCCCAACACAGTATGCTCTGCGATCAAGGGGTATAGAGAAATCACGGCAAGGACACGTAGCTAGTGTCCCGCCTCAAAAGGGACCCTCAACGACGCCGTGTTTATAATTTGAAATGATTTTTTGCTACATTTTACTGCTAACAAAACGGGTGACAGAGCAAAGATAGCGGACGAAAAGGGGGAGTTTGGAGTGGGGAAACGTGTTTGGACATTTTGCTTGCCGTCTGTGTCACCGATTTCTAGATAGTCCTGCGAGATACATAATACATAAATATATGTGCAGGCTGGGCTGCACAAAGGTACGTTTGGTTGTTGTGAGGTCAGCGATTGTTGCTTGGACACGACGTGCCCGTTGACACTGTCTTTGCAATAGAAAATTCGATCTGAGCTTACATTGCACATCCTGTTTCCTGCATCCTGCATTCTACATACCCACTGGCAAGCAGGCACATATGCCTCAGTTGAGCTATGCCAACATCGATTTCAATTGCATTACGAGCCTTACAGTGATTTATGAGTCTTTTCTGGGAGAAAATAATTGAAATGCAAGAAATGCAGGCAAAACCAGGCAAAATAATCTGGTCTCTTGGGTCATTTAACTCTTTTGGATGTGGACAATGTGTTGGGGATGAAAAGCTATCCAGAGGATAATGATGATTATTGGAAAATTGCAATCATAATCACTCTTTAAGTGCCACTATCACATCAATTAAATTGAATTTGAACCGAATTATAACGATAAATTGTATCTCACTCATTTATAACTCACTGAATTTATAGCCATTTATTAAATTTATTTGTATAAATGGACAAACAAAATGCAGAGATAAAATTGTGGTCTAAGCAAATGAGCATATGCAAAAGTTTTCATTATGGGAAGTTTTAAATTATCTTTTACCAAAAAAATAGTCATTTAATGACAATTTTTATCATTTTAGGCTTTATTTTTAGCTTTAATCGTTGTTAATCAAGTTTATGTGGCTTTTTCAAAAGCCATGCAACGCTGCGTATGCGTGATATTTATTTAGCCGTGGCCAGGCCATGCAAACATTTTGCATCATTAATTCCAACTGTCAACGAAATGCAAATGCAAGTCTGTTTGTTTGAATTCCATGTGTTTGTGTTCATTTCCAGTTTGCAGCGTTATTTGTTATTTGTGAAAGGGGAAAAAGCCAACTCCGAGCGCCTTTTAATTCCCGTAAAAGCCATTAAATTCTCTTGTTCAGCAGGCAGTAAAATGCAGACTAGGCTGAGTTGCCACTCCCCATTTGGAAACCGCCTCTCAAGTGCATCGCCTGGTGTGTTGACTTGTCGACTGATGACAGCAAATGACGAGTGCCGACAACAAAATGTTTACTAATGCAGACCCAAAGCAGTGACAGCAACGGGGCGGATGGTTGATGGAGGATAGTGGATGGTGGATGGCGTTGGCCCACTTTTCCGGATTGCCAATGGAAGGATGAGCGTATGGAGAGGCTTCTAACAAGGCAGCTGCTGTGACGTCGCTGATGGAATGCACTCTACGGCTCCCAGGACCCTCTCGAACGGGGACCGAGCTCTGATTGATGTTTATGAATTATTAACTAACTGCACGGAGAGCAGCTCAGCTCCATCCGCTTTCGAGCCCCCACGTCCATGGGTTGATGGATTGGCGTCCATGGAAGGAATGGCTTGGAAACTGCAATCCCAGCACACATTGTTGCAGCACCGGATTAAAAAGTTTAAGCCCCAGGGAAAGATTAAGTGTAACTGATTCAATTATTCTTAGACGATTTAAGCTTGAGAGCCTTGAAGTCGAAGGTTTAAAATATAAATTTAAAATCGGACAATTGAAAAATTATTCATTTTTTATGAACTTACTTCAACTGAGCAAACTTCAAAGTCCACACAAAGACAAGAATAACTTTAAAAACAAAAATAAACTATTCAAGTTTATAACGAAGCTACAATCTCTCAGAACAAGTGATCTTAAGGAACATTTCCATTAACAACTTAAAATCAATGACTACAAGTTTTAAATTCAGATGCATAAACTTAGAAATAAGCTTGATGACTGGCTAATAGTTCAAGCAGATTACAAATGAAAACACAACTTCCCAAAAGACATAACCATAAACGAAAGATTAAATAAAATACCTGAAAGTAAATGTTCTCTCTGGATTAAGTTGCACATCAATTGAAAAGTCCACAAAGTTCAGATAAAGAGGGGAAACTTTATCTGTTTTAAGTTTACAGCTTGCATGTCACAAGTACCTTAATGCTTAAAAACCCCCTTTTCCCACGCCCACACAATGCAAACTTTGCTGCACATTCCGCATGCACAGGGGTTTTTGGATGAGTTTTAGCGCCGAAGGGTAACCAGGACATGTCAAACACTTTAGTTCAACTTTGGGTCAGTTGTTTAGATGGCTGCCTTTTGGCCATGGCTTTGGGCATTAGCCAAGATCAACAGAGTTAGCCGAACTTTTTGTCCAATTTCGTAGGGACATTCGAGGTGATTGAATTTATTAAAATTCGTTGCGACTTCATGGGACAAGTGCTGGATATATAGTATGTGTATGTGGACAACCGCATTGTGTAATTTGTCTTGCACTTGCACCAGAGCAGAGCAGAGCACACAGACGCCAGCCAATTATTCACTGTCAGCCGGCGGTGCAATGTCAGACAACACGGCGTATGCGCAACTCCGGTTGTGCTGTCACCCGCACACTTTACCACCACCCCTCACTACTAAAATGTCTTAAAAATTAATTAAGCCAAGGCAGGGAGGCGGACACACAGATGGGCGGAGAAAGGGTTGGAAAGGAGATTAGATGACGGAAACCAAAGTTAAATTTAACTCTTCCTAAGCCAAGTTCCTTCCACGAGAAAACCCATTTAATTTTAGACAAACAAAGCGAACGGCCCAGCATTTCCATATTTCCCAACAGCATTTTCCCGCCTTTAGACGCATTTGCATAATTTCTCGTCTTCTGCAGCAATTAAAATATTTTCACTAATTTCATTTTGGTGCAAAGCCAGAATTACCATGCAAATTATAACAATTCAAATGCATTAAGTGCAACAGCAAATAACCATCCTCTCGACCGTCACTTTGCATAAACGCTCCTCCATTTTCATTTTGCATCCTGTAGATGCAAATGGGTATGCAAAGTGTGTGAGCATCAAAAACGGCAACAAACAAACGGAGGGTTCATTTCGACACGACGAAGGCCCAACACGCTGCATTTCGATTTTAATTTGCATCACAAACAATCAAAAGAAAGGCTTTAGGCTATTTTAACTTGTGTAAGTACAAGTAAACCTCTAATGGACAAACTATTATTTACTTTATTCGGTTCGGTTTCCTAGTCTTTCAAGGTTTAATACACTTTACAAGTTAGAATCTTTTAAAATGTATTTCAAAACAGTTTAAAAAACAGTATGCCAAAGAATAAAATACAAACTGATTCCTAAACCTACGTAATTATGATTCATATTATTTCTTCACAAATTTATATTACATTAGGCAATAAATGCTTAAGCCCTTAGATTTAAGATATAAACTCTGAGAATTTTTGTAAAAAAAAAAGTAGTAATTTTATTTGTTTTTTGACAATATTAAATCGATAAAATTAGTATAAAAAGGCAGCCAAAAAAAAGAAAGCTCTAAATGTAAAATTTCTGGAATCGATAAGACGTGTCCCAAATTTCAAGTTTATCAAGTTACTGGATTTTGAAAAGACTACAAAACACCGTCTTGAAGATACACTAAATTAAATGTTTGGGATGCATTTTAAATCGGTTGGTAGAAGAGTTTAAAAATCCTTAAAAAATCTAATCATATTATGCCAATTTCCCTTGGCAGTTCTTTGCAATTATTTTCTAGTTCCAAAAAGTAATCCTGGACCGCTTTGGATTGAGCTCTTTGACTGCTTCTCCGAAACCCAGTAACGAAGTTCTAATGCCCAGGACCAAGTTGCAACTATGTAAATTGGGGCAGGGCCGCTCCGTTGGGGACACGAAATGAGCCTAGGAAACTTTTGCCTGCGGTCTGCAGGACTCCTGCCAACTGGTGCCAGTTCCGCTGTCTGGCCTTCGTCCCATTTTCCCCCCGCTCCAAAACCCATTCCACTTTGCATGCGAGAAATGCGGCGTATTTTGCATGGCTTTCAAATGAGATTCCGCTGCGAGCTTAATGCTATTGTTGCACGTTGCACGTACCACCGCTATGCCCCCTATCCGGGGCATCCTGTCCCACGTCCTGGTTGTTTACACTCGCGATGTTTTCGTTTTGGTTGTCACCGTCTGCCCAAAAACACGCAGGAGACTCCTCCATGCCGCTGATCCACTCTGCATTTAACTCCTCCCGCAGGGCAAGGTCTGACTTCAATACGCACTCATGCAAATATAATCGGAGCACACGCACAGCGCTTTCCCTGTTATTTTCCATGTCCCCATGCGATGTCATCAGCAGAGACGACGGAACTCTAAATAACTTTTAAATGAAGCACAGGATGCATGCATGACCGCCAAACAACTGGCCACAGTCAGCCAACAAATAGTGGGCAAGCTAGGAATGTTACATTTTTGAATTTTCCAGGACTTCGTTTCGAACCAAAAATAGGAATATGGAAATTTGTGAATCCTTTTGTCAGAAATTTGACTTGAAAATCTTATTTATCGCTGAGGTTCCGGAGTACTCCTCGCCCAAATTTTGTTGAATTCCTTTAATCTCAATGAATTTATTTCTGTTCTACACTTTCATTAAATCATAGTTAGGAATTGCTTTATAATTTTGTACATCCCTCCAGTTTTATATAACTTGTATAAATTATCCTTACTGTACAAAATTCTTTTATGCGGATATTTTAAAATTAATCGACCTACACCTGCTTTACCGGACTGCGGTATATTTTGTAAAGCCCTTCCTTTCATGTAATCTCTCGAATCGCCACATCAACCCGTTTCCTTGTCCGCAGGTTACGTTTCACGCATGGATGCTTTTGGCTTCCCTTCTCTTCAGCCATCACATCATTGTTTCAATTCATCTCGCATTTCCTTGGGCTTATATTGTGGCTTCTGGCCGCCAATTCTGCTCCACTCGGCCTCAGCGGACTTGGACAGAATGGACATACTGGACATACTGTACATACTGGACATCCTGGACAGCACGGCTCGTGGGAGCGGTCCCATTGTTTTAAACTATACACAATCTGCGTGGGGATGTGGGCGTGCGAAACTTTTTCATTTTCCCTGCTCATGCGTTTATGAAAATTGTAAAAATATACTGGGACTTCCCCTTTTCCACTGCCCACTTTTCCCACACTCGCTTGCGGTGGCCAAAGTGTGAATGTGTGAATAAATGAGTTGTGTGTGCGAAAAGTTCCCCAGTTTGCCGTGGCTAATGAAATATTTAAATGTAATTTTGGCGCGTTAATCAAAATGAAGTTAATTAACTGTGGCGGCGATGCTTTAATTAGGCCATCCAGAATATATGCAGATACTACTCAAGGGATGTCTCCGAAGCGAAATCGATTCGCAATGTTGAACTTCTTTGAGGAAGAGCAAAACACAAATATTGGAGTGGGATAAGAATAAATATAGCCTACTTTTATGGGTTAAACGGGCATTATTATTACTTTGCAAAGTTTTGCAGGTAAGTTTTAATGCCTTTAACTTTAAGTATGTGTAAATACAAGCTTTAAAGAATCAGGCAAAACCAACTTCATAAACTCCATAAAACCCAAAAATAGTCAAAATATACAAAGGGGTGTCTTCAAGCTATTTTTGTAACGAGTTAAAGAAATTTGCAGTTATTAAATTTAAGCTAAACGAAATTCTCGTATTATAAACTAATCTTAGTGCCGTTGACCATTTGGGGCAATGATATGTTGAGTCAGTGCTCGAGGGCATCTTGAAGGGGATTACAGATTGTAATTCAACCTTTGGCTGGTTGCCTTTTTTCAAGGCAATTGAATTACAAGTGCAGCAACCTGAAAATACAGCCAGCACTTGGGCTGTAAGACGACAAAGGCGGAAGGAGCGAGGAGGAGACCAGGCGGAAGCGGAAACGCCTGCCACCGGAGTGCGGGGCTTCATAAATCCTGGCCGGCAACGACCGCAGAACCCGGCAATCCTCCCACTTGCCCCGATCCACTGAAATATGCTTGCGTCAGTGCCATGCCAAAATCCAGCTGCAGCTGCTCCACAAAACGATACAAACGGTACGAGTGAAGGTCCACCGAAGAGAAATACTTTATCCTTCCACAAATTATTCACTCCGATGCGCTTAATCCGAAAAAAATACTATAGCAGGAACTTCTTAAAAGCGAATTTCAAGCAAGTCCCACATAATTGAATAACAATAAAGAGACGACTACTTCCGAATGAGAAACATCGGATTAAAAAAAGATGTGCAACGACGTTAAACTTTCTTTTGTCTTTCAATGAGCTTCTAATAAATATTGATATATTATGGCATGAATTAATGAATGAGAATTATTTTTGTATTTTATAAGGCTCTTAGAAAATATTGAAAATAAAATAGGTATTTCCTTCACTTAGATGTTATGACATATTTGTATCTACCCTTCCCAATTCATGTCTATTATATTAAACACCAATATAACAATCTTGACTTAAAGAACATGCGCTAATAAACTTATTATTTTCGAAATATTTTATACTATCTTTATAAAATTCAACCACAAAGTAAAGAACATTCGAATAATTATATTAATGATACTGAAGTGAAGTAATTATGTTAAAAGACTAAAAAGTTTAATCCGCAGGAGTTGGACTGTAAATGACACTACGAAAAGGAACTTGCCCCATCATCAGTTTCCCATTCAATTCTCGTATTCTTCACCTTTTCTCTGCTGTAAATGTTCCAGGATGTGAGTGTGTGCGTTAATCAATTTGCAAAAAGCATTAAATTATCAAGCAATTAGTTATGCGCGAGTAATACAAAGATAATGCCATTAACTAAAGCTTAATTTAATTACTGAGAGTTATGAGTCAGGCCGAATACCGTGCTACACATTATATGTAAATTAATACAGATTTGTGGTCCCCATCTGGGGACCAAGTTTTCCACTCATGGCGACAGCTGCAAATGCGCTCCATGGGTAAATTCTCGGGAGCAAATGCAATTCAGTGTTTCCAATTCGAAATGTTTCTAATTGAAAGGGCCATTGTGTGTGTGTGTGGGTGCTGGTGGACTTTTGGATGGGGCACATTTCGCCAGCATTGCAAAAAACTAATGTTTGTAAACGAAAGTCAACCGGAGCTGGGGCCAAACCGCAAACAAACAAACATCAGCACAAAATCTGATTTCGATTCCAATTTAGAGTGAACGGAAAAAGATGTGACCCTTGGGAAATGTCGCCCTCGATTTTGACTGAATTAGAAATGCAAACGGATTACCGGGCAAACGATTTGCCCAATAAAATGTGTCAAATAAAAATTGACAAAGGGGTCCCCGAAAGCGCCATTATTCATTTGGTAAACGATTGCCCGCTGGGGGCACAGACAAAAAAGGGGTACTCAGGGGTTTTTAGAGTGTTCCATTTGAATGCGCAGCCTTGCCGAAGGCCTCAACACTTTAGAATGTTCATCGAAAAGTGCCAGAACTATATGAAGCATATGCAAAATAAGCGAAGCTCTTAAACTATCCGACTTAAAAGGGGCAAAATGGGGTTGTGGGGAACGCGATAAATTCGGTCATCACGTGCTTGTTGGGTAAGAAAAAAGAAATGCACGAATTATGTGGAATTTTTTCCAACTATTTTTAAACTCAACTGCTAGGGCTGTATAATCCTCTTTGCCTTGGAATGGTGTTCAATCAACAGTCAATTTGCTCAACTTCATGGCGACGAAATCGCGCGAATTGCAGGCAATTCGAAAAGAAAAAAAATCGCCGCACAAGTACAGTAATCGCGAACAGTTGCAGTTGCAGACTAAACTTTTCGCTTCGCTAACGGTTTTCATTTGGCGGCAAATGCACTGAAATGCACTTGCGCACTGAATCCGTTATTTTCAGAGCGCCAGACATAAACAAACGGGCACCTGGCCACACTGTTAACGTTAACAGTAATGCAACAATGTAAAGCAACAACTTGTAAATGCATACACATAAAAAAGACGCCGGCTTTTGCAATTCCCCCTCACATTACTTTAGTTAATAGATGTATAAAAAAGAAAAAACTTACCCACTGACACCCGAATTAGCAGTAAATTATCTGTTGTCTAAGCACACTGTCCGTAAATAAAATTAAACAATTTTTTTTGCGAACGTCTGCAGTCCTTTCTTTTCACTTTAGTTTGCACTATGAAATAAAAGCCGTGTTGCCACAAATTGTCTGGGACAATCTAATAGCTCTGGGAAAGCTTATTCAACAATCTGGTAGCTCCGAAAAAGCTTTCCATCAATCTGGTAACTACAGCTTATCTCTTTTAATGTATCTGGCAAGTCCAGACAAGCTTTTCTAACAATCTGGCAACGATCCATCTATCGGGTACACCGTTCAAAAACACCCACCTCACTTATTGAATTAATAAAGCACTTTAGCAAAGACACCTCCCATACTTATCGATAGTTAGTCTATGCATGCGTATTTAGCGAATACGCGCTCCATGGATAGCTTAGACACTATCTATCATTAGCGAGTACTCCCTACAAAACCCTATCGATATATCGATAGCAGCGTAATTGGTCCTCTCACCTCTACGAACGAGACGAAGACGACGACGACGCAACTTGTAGCAGTAAAAATATTTATACGATTTGGCCGTGTTTAAACGAATTAACCAAACTAATAATCTATTAAATGCAAAGTGAAAATGTGAACGTTGTGTTTGCTTTCGAAATGACATCCATTTAAAATGCATTTCAACGCAATAGCTCGCTGTGAAAATTTCGTACAGGCAAAAAAGAGCCGATTTTTAGTGGAAGAAGAAGCAAAAGCAGCAGCAGCCGAACAGGCAGTAAAAGCAATCGTCAAATACACGGACAAAGCGCACGGTGAATGAAAGGCGTGTGAAGAGAAAACTTGCAAAAATTACACCAACAACTCTGCGGCGGCAGGCGAAAAAGTGTGTTTAGAAAAGAAATTAAAAACACACGCATATATACATGCACGCAAACACACACGCACACACTAACTAATAAACACACAAATGCAAATCGAAGCAAGAGAATTGGTGCAAAAAAGCTAAAAACAAAGTAAAATAGCGCGCGGTTTAATAATAAATAATTATATGTATGCGCGCAAAACATGTGAAGAGCCGGGGAGCCGCTAATACAAATACGAATACGAAAAATCAATGAGATTGTAATAAAATTCCGAATTCTCGCTATCGTTCCCTTCCTCTCTCGCCGCACTCGCTCCCGCTCTCTCACTGTCTCTTGTCTTGTCTTCTCTCTCGCGAACAGCAGCCTCTCGACTTGTGTTTGTGTTTCTTGTTGATTTTGTGATAAAATTGCAATCAGCCCCACACGACACTCGCCATAATAATAGTATTCAAAGAATTAGGGCGATCGAAAAACCAACAGTAATCAGTAAAAGGTGCGTATGCAACAGCAGCAACAATAACAACAAACGGCCATCTGTGAGGCTGTGCGTGCGCGTTTGTATGTGTGCGAGAGTGTGGCAAAAAGTAGAACGTGCGAGAGAAAAAGAAAACCCGCGTACCCAATTTGATGACGTCTTCAACTAGGCAACAACAATGAAGAAATATCGGCACTAATGTAGATTTTACTTATTTTTTTAATGTGTGTGAGAGCAGCGGCAGAAATGAGAGAGAAAGAGAGATGGACCGGTATTTTGTAGTCGCTGCAATTTGAAGTACCATAACCCTTTTTCTCAGCTTTTAACGATCACTGGTTTCAATAGCTTCCCATAGCCTGGTTTCATAATAAATTCCGATAAGACCTTCGGTTTAAAATGATAACAGCTGACAGCCCATAGTTTCGCTCTCTGTGTACATTTATCAGCTCACTTCAGGCCGTATTCAAATAATCGGTCGTACAGTTTTTCCCAGCCATTGGATATATTCTGTAGTGCCTAGTAACTGATGCACCTGTCCGCAGAGCCAATTGGTCTTATCGCCACGCGCCCTGTCTCTCGTGGTTGTCACTCAAACCACCCACTCGCTCCCGTACAGTGCCACCAACATTTGGAGCCCCCATTTGTACCCTCCACAGACGATTCGTGATTTAAAAGGTTATTTGACTGACAGACGGACATGCTGCCCGTTGGCTTTTTGCTACCTTTCTGTTCTAAGCTGAAAGGCCAAGAGCATCACCCACTCAGCGACGCATCAAAGTAGATTCACAAATATTTTCATCAAATGGGTAGTAGTTTATATAGTTGGCTAGCCAAAAATCCTATAAGTTGGATAATTTAATTTAATAAGGTGAACAACTTGCAGTGTAAACTTAAAACTTATAAAGTCTTATAAGTCTTATAAAGTCTTTAACTTACTAAAGCAGAATAATATTTATTTCAGGGTTTAAGAGACGAATAAATAAGAAAAAGTTTAGTTTATACGTTTTTTTTGCGCCTTTATATTTTAAGGCATGAGTAAAAAAACCTAAGACTTAAAATTTTTAGTACTTATAAATTCTTGAATAAGGAATGTTCAAATTATTAACCAAAACTTAAAAGAAAAATATAAGTGAAGTTAAAACATACATATCGATTTTAATGTTTCTTTTTTTAAATAAAGGTGGAACAAAAGTTTTGACCGTTAGTGTGGCACTTGTGCCGTTTTGTCGACAATGCGCGCGCTCCCTCTCTCGCACTCACGCAAGTACACTCGCACACACACTCTGCCGTGCTTCACACATGCACACGAAAATTTGCAACACACATACACACAAAGTGCTTCTCTCACTCATGCTCTCTTCTTTTCTCTCTCTCCCTCTGCTCTTTTTTTCTGTTTTTAGTGGTTGTGCAAGAAGAAGCAGCAACAATCAGGCAAAAAATACCTGAAAAAAATAAACGGTAAAACGAAGAAGTGGCGACACACACACAGCCGAAGAGTGCCCGCTAAAAAGTTTATTAACTAAAAATCCAAAAGTAAAGGCACACAGTGCGTTTTATTCCCCATAAGCAAAAGCCAAAGTCAAAATATATATTTTAATAAAAATGGTGGAAGTAATAGAGCGGCGGAGAACGGCTGCGTGAGCCCAAAGCGCGGCCAATTAAAAAACAACAACAGCAGTACACAGCAGTAGCAGCAGCCGCTAAAGAAGAAGAAGAAGAAGCAGAAGCTGAACCGAAAGAGGAGGAAACAGCAAGAGCCTCGAAAAAGTACATAAAAAAGTATAAAATTTAAATAAGGTGGAAGTTGTGTCGGTAGACAAAAAGCGAACTAGCGACGAAAAAGAGAGGCGAGAAAAGCTAAACTTAAACCGAAAGCCACCTTATCCAGGCGCAACAATAACAACAGCAGCAGTACCAGAAGCAGCCAAACATCATCACACAAACCTACAAAATGTACGGCAAATCAAAGACATCGGCGGTTCCATCGGACGCCCAGGCCCGAGAAAAGTTGGCCCTGTACGTGTACGAATATCTGCTGCACGTTGGCGCCCAGAAGGCGGCACAGACATTCCTCTCGGAGATCCGATGGGAGAAAAACATAACGCTGGGAGAGCCGCCGGGATTCCTGCACACTTGGTGGTGCGTCTTCTGGGACCTGTACTGTGCGGCACCGGAGCGCCGCGACCAGTGCGATCACAGCTCGGAGGCGAAGGCCTTCCATGACTACGGCTTCGTGAGCTCTGGTTATGGAGTGAACGGAATTGGACCAGGTGGCCCGCACAATGCCGGTGGACCAGCGCCTAGTCCTCTGGGACAGATGCCGCCAGGCGGCGATGGCGGTCCAATGGGTCCCGGCGGACCGATGGGGCCAAATTTCTTCCCCAACTCCACGATGCGACCGTCGCCGCCCACGCACGCCTCCAGTCCTCAGCCGCCTCCATCGCAGATGATGCCAGGCCAGCCGCCGTTCATGGGAGGACCCCGCTATCCGGGCGGACCACGGCCCGGCGTGCGTATGCAGGGCATGGGCAATGAGTTCAACGGACCGCCCGGCCAGCCCATGATGCCCAACAGCATGGATCCCACAAGGCCAGGCGGCGGGATGGGGCCAATGAATCCGCGAATGAATCCGCCCCGCGGCCCCGGCGGCATGGGACCCATGGGCTATGGCGGACCGGGAGGAATGCGCGGACCAGCACCCGGACCCGGTGGAATGCCGCCCATGGGCATGGGCGGAGCGGGCGGCAGACCGCCGCAATGGCAGCCCAATGCTTCAGCGCCCTTGAACGCGTATTCATCGTCATCGCCAGGAAACTATGGACCGGGACCCGGGTCGAATGGACCGCCGGGACCGGGGACGCCCATCATGCCGTCGCCGCAGGATAACACGCAAGGCGGACCAGTGGGTGGACCCGGCGACAGCATGTACGCCCTAATGAAGCCCGAATTCCCCATGGGCGGGGGACCGGACGGCGGAGGAGGTGGAGGCGGGCCCGGAGGCATGGGGCCAATGGGCGGCGGGCCCAACTCAATGGGCCCTGTACTTAATGGAGGCGGCGGACCGGACGGCTCCGGCCTGGACGGAATGAAGAATTCGCCGGCCAACGGCGGACCAGGGACGCCGCGAGAAGATTCCGGTAGCGGCATGGGCGACTACAATCTGGGAGGATTCGGCGGACCCGGCGAAAACGATCAGACGGAATCTGCGGCCATTCTGAAGATTAAGGAGAGCATGCACGAGGAGGCCAAGCGGTTCGAGAAAGACTCAGATCATCCGGACTACTTCATGCCATAACAACATCACCAGCAACAGCAGCAGCAGCATCAGCAGCATCTCAACACGGTGGCAGCCGCTGTGGCAGCTGTGGTGGCGGCTGCGGCGTCTAACGGATCGGCAGGCAGCTCCTCGGCCGCTTCCATAGCGGCTGCTGCTCTAGGAGCCGCCGCCTCCAATCTGCTTAGCAATGGCAACAACAATTTCTGAAGGCAAAACCCACACACCACAACACACACAGCAAATAAGAACGCGGTAGTAGAAATCCTTGATACATAAGCATAAAGTAATTAACATTTAACACATATATGAGAAATAGAGAAAAGCGAAACAAAAAAAAAAACAAAAAACAGAAAGCCCTTAACTATAATAGATTAAAGCAGCCAATGTAAAATTGTGAAAAGATCAAACGAACATATAAAAGCGTTCTGTTGCCACTGCCACTGTCCTTCTTGCCGTTGATTTTAGATTAGTTCGTTTCGTTGTTGTATTCTATGCTTAATTTTAATTTACGATCGAAAATTCAACTCTCAGAAAGGCAGAGAAGGACAAAGGGCAGTGGAGGGCAGAATGGAAGTGTTTCCCAGCAAAACTCGAGATAATACTGAAAAGTAAAGAAAACAAAAACCAAGCAAGCAAAAAAACAGTAATCCCAATGAACAAGCAAACACAGTCGGTCTTCTATAAGTCGAACTATAACTGGAAATACAAGTACAATTACAAAGCTAAATAGAAGTGATGTTTATGGTTCGAGTTATAGTAGTTCGACAGTATACTTAAAGTGATGTTAAACATGTATGCAACAAGTTAAGTAAGCCCTGTGTTAGTTTAGTTGTTGCAAACACTTACCTCACACAAAACTTATAAGATCCATTCGCCTGTCCCCTATTTATACCCATTCACTTGCTTATATAGAAACCCGAAATCATAATCACAGATCAATTGTTCGTTAAGCAAGGCAACAAATTGAAAGCAAGCATATGAATGGAATATTTATAATGATATGCATAATACCTAGTTGAGTATATAGTTAGCATTATTGGACTTGTATATGGATAGTCTGTAACCCACACTCATACACATGCACTCTTTCTGAACTGCTCCATTTTGCAAAATGGGCAATGTCTAGATCGTTTCGCTATGCCCAAATTTTATTCTTTTTGTTATTATTGTACAAATTGTAAACTTGGCACATTGTGGTCGTTTCTTTACGCTTTTCTGTTTTTTCTGTGTTTGTTTGTTCTATACATATTTGTTGTATTGTTTCGTGACTTTTTGTTTCTCTCATTTGTCGTATGCCTATGTATGTATTTATATTTTAACCAAACACTAAAATGAAAATCATTATTTAAGTTCCTTCCAAACGGCGAGCAATACCATTTGTATGAGATATGACACGATCTGTACGATTTCCCTTACTTTGGAGAGCGGCAACAGTTTTGCACTCGTTTCGATTTCCTCACGGCATTGTGTGTGCATTAGGGCAGCGAAAGAAAATTATATAGAAAGCTATATGTAAACATTATATATAGACAGAAACCGATACAGAAGTAGCCTATTGTATGCACTAATTTATTGCAAAATAGCTACGCGCATAACTATAAGATTTAGCTGTTTAATATGCATATAAAGTATATATTATATATTTCGTAAAGGCAGCAACAATTGTAGAAACATAACCTAAAGAAAAGTTTAATTCAAAATATCACACCTAACATGAATGCTGTACAAAACAAAAGTCTTAAAGTACATATAATATAAATAAAGCTATATACACATTGTATATGTCTGTGCTTGCATCCTTTTATTGATACAGCACATTTTGCATTCATAGAAGAAACCAACCAACCCGTATGGTAGAATTAGATTTGAACTAAGTTATAAGCCCTGCAACATAAACAAATCAAAAGGAATAAACATAAAGAAACCTATGGAATTTCTTTATAACAAACACACACACACATTGACACCCCACACACAAGAACACACGAATCAATTGATAAAATAATTTAACAAGATGAAATGGAAAAATCTATTTTAAATATTGTATATGTTTAATGTGTCGGAATTTAAAATATGAACGAAAGGAGGGAGAAATTTATAGTATGAGCTGCATGAATTATATCTAAATTATAGTATGGAATGCCGCATCAACGATGCGTCAAGCGAAACAACTTAAATAGTAACTAAGTTAAATTTATTACTAACGCTTAAGGTTTGAGCGTTTCAATTGCTGGATCTATATATAAACCACAAAATCTATGTATAATGGAGCGGAATTAAGTAAAACAAAGTATAAATCGCCCAAACCACAAATAACAAAAACAAAAAAATGGCAAAAAGTAACACAGAAAAATCGAAAAAAATGAAGGAAATACAAAAACCGATTGAATATGGAAATATGTTTGAATAAGTATTTTAGTGTTAATTATACAATTTACAAGTACACAACACAAACAAAAACAACAACAATATAATATAAAATGAAATAAAGTTTTAAAACAATATTTGTAAAAAGTAAAAAAAGAAGTAAAAGTGTAATATTTGGTTCCGTGGGGTTTTGTAGTTAATCCAAAAGATCGGATCATTGATCTTTCTTATATATATATATACGAATTTAAAGATTACCTACAGCGGTTTTAAATGAACGAAACGAATTCTGATGAGACTTAGATCATTTTTTATAAAGAGTAATCATAGCTTTGCTTCGATTTAGCCCCATTTCCATTGTTATTTGCAATCGCAGCACCATCAGTTGGACTATATCTCCTGATTTCTGTTCCCGCTGGCATTAATTGAACAATTTTGCTGCAGACGCGTGTGGCCGCCTATCTGGCTTTGGCTGCGGTTCTGGCCGAGACAATTGATCCGGCACACGCACATGGCTAATGAATGGACACCACCGGCCATTTGTAGAGCGAGGGAGTGAGGGATTGGTTGTCGGGGCAACCGGCCGTTCGATTGTGGCCCATACAAATTGAGATGGCTAATACACTCTCGCTGGACAATCGGACCGTACTGAGGTTGCGCTTGGCACTGCACAAAATCGATAGGTTGAAGAGTGTGGAGCAATGCGTCCGCCGCTGGAGAAATCTGGAAATCGAGTAGGGCCACTATTTCCATAAATGCAGCAAGGTGGCGTCCTGTTTCTACACTTGCATGGGTCTGATGCGGACAGTGGGAGGGGTCAATGCCGGAAGCGATGGGCCCTTGCCAGAGGAGGCGATATCCACGCTGAACCATTGCCCTACGTACAGACAAATCCCGGGTGTCGGAACGGGTGCAGGATCGGCGCCGGCCAAGCGAGTGCCCGTCCTATTCTCCACCAATCGTGGACTCTATTTGCGCTTGGCCCAGACACCTGCGGATCAGATGGAGGTGCTGACACTTCAGCCACGCGGACAGAACTACAACATCAGCTTCTGCGATCTGGAACGCTGGGTAAGTCCGGTTTGACAAGCTTTAATCCATATCTGATTACTGATCGCTTCCTGGCAGAGTACCAATCGGGCCAATGTGGTCAGCCTGGAGGACACCTTCACCATTCTACAGCAGCGTAACATGTCGCCGGAATCTCACAACTATCAGCCACGTCTGTGGAAAAACAATGTCAGCTACAGCCTGATGCACTGAACTGAAAGCACCTCAAATCATGAATCGTAAACAATAACAATAGTTTGTATGTAGAACTAATTAAAATCCTTTTTACTTTAAATAATCCCTAATACAGAGTTCTAAATCGATTTATAACCTAGTGGATGTGGGTGCAGCCCTTTAGGCTGAGTTGCTGGTCAGTGAAGCCATCAGAAATTCCATTTTATTAAGGAAGCTCTTGCCCTCGATTTTGTCGAATCTAACCTGGAAGGGAAGAAAAATACAAATGTATTAAGACCTTTTCCTGGATCATTTAAAAAAAGTACCCACCTCCTTAAAATTGCCGCCCAGATTCTCCCACAATTTCTCCGGTACAAGGGGACTGGGGAAGAAGTCCTGCCTTGGACTTCTCGCTATATAGACCTTTACATCGATCTGAGGATCACAGCGAATCTGAACTGCAATCATGCGATCGCTATTGGGAGAGGCCAGCAAGCAGGAACTGGCATTGCCCAGCGGCTCAACCTTTCCGATGCCCAAGTGGTTGCTGTTTGAAAGCACCGTCCAGGCCATACACCGGGCCAAACTGATGAGGCATGAGATCTGATGAGAGTTGATCTGGCAGAGAATCAGATCGCGCAGCTCCTGCGGTTCGTAGGAGAGCCGCATAACGCGTCCATCCCGACAAATACACTTCAGAGAGCGCTCTTTAACATGGATCACCAGCGAGGTGCGTCCAATGGCGTCGTATCCGTGCGTCACAATATTGATCTTGACACACGACATTGTGGGACTGTTCATGGCGTTCCAGTGAGACACAATCTGCGGGTCCTTAACATCCCTTGCCAGCGTGTCGAGCACGTACTGCGTCCGCTTACGCATAAATATGTGCTGCGCCTGAGCAATGATCTGCTCCAGTATGGTCTGCGACTTGGTCATGTCCAACAGCGTTTCTCGATCCGCAGCCATTGGACCGGCGACCATGCGTTTCTTCGTCGGTCCAAGTGGAGCACTGGCCGGGTGGGGAAACGGGTGATGCGAGTTCTTGTAGTGCACCTCACGCAGCAACTGGTGCAATGAGTGCTCCAGTACATGGTCGTGGTCGTTGATTGGAGCCGGCTGGCTGGAGTCGAAGGTAGTTGAGTGACACAGCGAGATAATCAACTGTATGTTGGGCAGCAGGGTAGCACGAATCTGATTACCAATTACCACATGTGGTATGGGTGCCTGCAGTTGGATGGCCTCGCGTGCCAACTGGGCAAATAGCTCCTTGCAAAAGAGCACGTTCTGGGCAAACTCCAGGGTCTTTTGCCAGACGCCCGTCTGAGCGGTTATATTGGGTCCATGGCCCATCAAATTTACCTGGGCGGTGCACAAGTCCTCCTGGTCTTTTTGGGTGATAACCTTAATGTAGGCTACGCCCTGTAATTCCGATGGGACAATAACCCGTAAAGCAGAGCTGGCTTTCAGTTGCATCCCGTTGTTACCGGAGGTGCTGCTGCTGCTGTTGTTGGAGGAACTGGGGGCATCATCATCAGCGGCCTCCTCCGCCTTGGTCACCTCAAAAGTACCGCTCATGCCGAACTTGGAGCCCGCAGTGCGGTAGCTGAGATCTCCTATAATCGCATTGGACACCTTCTTTAGACGCCAGTTTTGCCGCAGTCGCAGCAGTTCTATGTGAAAATCAGAGACATTCCGGCTTCTTTGTTCGCTGTGGGCATTTCGCAGCCGTTCAGCTCCACCCAGAAGGACCTGTGCCGCCTGCGAGATGGCCTTCTTTCGGCTGTAGACTTGGACAATTGGCTTGGTGTCGTCGGCTTCCTCCAGCAGGGGATCCAGAACGAGGTAACGCTTATCCTTGGCCACGGAGATCACATCGGACAGCACGCAAATCTCGGTGAGGGCATCCTTTAGCTTGTTGCGCACCGCGTCCCACGGCCACAAGCTCTCCTGGAACTGGGTGGCGTCCTTGTCCTCTTCGGTGGCCGCCGCCGCTGTCTTTTCCTCTTTCTTCAGGTCGTCCAGCGATGTTTTGCTGAAGTCTATGCGCGCCGCACATTTTGCCAAACTTTCGGACAAAGTCGGCGGCCTACGAATACAAACCAATAACATGTTCAAAACAGGGCTTGCTACTTCTTTGGTGAACTTACGGTTGATAACGTTCGGTGCCATCGTAGCCAATCTCACGAATCTGGTTCTCGCAAGTCGTTTCCACCGATATATTCACGGAATTGGACATTTTTAAGAAGGAAAACAAAACATTTGCAAAAAACCAAACCAAGATTTAGTGCTGGAAAACGCCTGAAGCCGGCAATCGATAGTCATACCGATAAATTTCTTCAGACTAGTGACGAAGGCAAATTTTAGTAAGTGCATTAAAAATGTACAAATATTAAGAATAAGTGTAGAAAAACTCAACTTTAAAAAATGTTTATAAGGTATAACTTAACTGCATTAATTTCCGAAGTGGTATAATTTTAAGAGGATATTTTGCAAATATAAAATGGTTAGTACATTTTTTAACAACGATTTTAAGATTGATTAAAATGTACTATCTTTTAAAGAGCAAAACATTTCGGAAAGCAACATGGCTACGACCATGTGTTCATTTACCTTTACCTGAAAAGTCAACCGCCTGCAAAAGTTTCTCCTACTAAAATTCCAAAGCAAATTTCATTAAATTAAGTTTTTCTACATATTTTTAGTTCCGTTTTTGGGTCCACCAATCCCTCTCCACTGTGCCTCGGGACATTGTTGCCACATATCGTCAATCGATAAGCTCGGACCGCGCCACTTTGCAACACTTAATCATTACTTTCATATTTTTGACTTCCCAAATCATTTCGAATTCCACTCCCGATCCTAGTTATGTTGTTTCTAAAGGACAAACGCTCCAAACTGGACTTGGCAGAGCACACGGTGATCATACCGAGCATCTGCGTGGGAAATGCAGCGCAGCTGGCCTGCGACCTGTTGATCGCATCCAAACAACTCCGGCGGATCGGGTCCCTGACCCATCCGGCCCTGATCCCAGTCTACGGACCCTCTGCCTACCAGCATGAGCCTAATGAAAAGGTCTCCTCCTGCGAACTGTACGAGGGCTCTCAGGATAAGCTAATGGTGGTCCAGTTCCGGGCTCCATGGGTCGCCCGCCACACAGCCAGTTTTCAGAGCGAACTGGTGGAGTTGCTCAAGGGCGCCCGCCGCGTGGTGATCCTAAGCGGTAGCTTCGGTTTTGAAAAACGTGTGATTGAGGAGTCGCCATGGGCATACCGCGCCAGCGATAACTTTAAAGAGGCTCATGCCGCTCAATTAGGCAACCAGGAGCTGATCAAGTGGAAGGAACACAAGGGTGAGGCAATCTATGGCGGCGGCAATGCGCTGCAACTGTTCAAATCGTTCGATGAGCAGCAGGTGCCCGTGATGCTGCTATTCCGCTATCTCCTCGAGGGTGACAACTCCACGGACGCTTCTCTGATCGTCCGAGAACTGAACGAGCTGTGCGAGGATTTCCTCCAGCTGCGCAATGGTGGCGACGGCAGTTTTAAGCTCACGGTGCCCAAGTCCTGGAACCTTCTTTTCGGCAACGATGTCACGGAACTTTTGTTTTAAGCGTTTATATATTTCACGGTGGCTTCAAATAAATCTTAATCTTTTGGTGTAGGATAAAAGAGATTGCTGGCTCTGTGCTCCCGGAAAAACTCGCTGCCATACTCCTGGTGATCCTGGCGCGTTGTTAGCGAGTGGCCAAAGTTTGGCTCTTCAGCATGCACACAGGCACCTAGCCAGGCGCTTAGACTGGGCTCATCCGACTCGTAGATGGAAAACTTCGATTGGAACGGACGCATCTCCAGCAGCTCCTTGGCGAGACGGTCCTTGAGGCCCTTAAACTGGGCACATCCACCGGTCAGGTAGACATGCTCCACCAGTCGCTGTTGCTCCTCGGCTGTAAAGAGCTTTAGCACGAAGGCTATCAATTCCGATAGACCCGCCTCCGAACAGCCAATCATGCTGGGCTGGAACAGGATCTCCGGCACGCGGATGTCCTCCACCCCAAAGTGCAGCTGATAGTTTTCCGCGGCAGTCTGGGCCTGGGCATTGGAGTTGCTAACATCGAAGTTGGCGTCATAATGACTCAGAATTTTCTCGAACTCCAGCAACTGTTCGTTATCCGCATCCGAGTCGCTGTCATCGTTATAGCGATTAATCCGCTTGTACACATCCCAGTCGTTGTCGTTCATCCCAAAGCCGTCATCTTCCTCCTCGCCGTTGGCCTTGCGCCGCTTCTCGCTTTTGGCCAGCGACGAGATGATGCGCATGCGCTGCTGGGCGGCATGAGTATGCCGTTTGGCCTGCTCCGAACGTTGCTGTTGGCGGGCCTGCTTACGCCCAAGTAGTTCCTCTCGCTTGCCATGAAGTTCGGCCAGCCAGTCCGCTTGGGAGACACCTGCTGGGGGCTTGGGCATTTTGTCCAACTTTTCCTGTTGCTTGCTGGGACGCGGGGCACTCTGTGCTCTGTCTTGGGCACGTTTAATACGCGAGTTTATGGTGGCAATAAGGGCATCCAAGTCCTCCAGCGTACCGATTTGTTGCTGTTGCAGGGCACGCTCAAATTTTTCCAGCTTTTGCTGTTCATACAGTTGCCTCAGCTTGTTATAGACAAACAACTGTTGCTCATCCTCGCGCAACTTCTCTCGCTCGCGGCGATTCTTGATTTCTAGCAGTCGGTGGGCCAGCTCCCGGCGTTTCTCCTGCTTTTGCTCAGCTGTAAGCAAAGCATTGGTGGCGGTCACCGCGTTGTAGGGCAGCTGAATTTTCATGATGTGCTCATCGTAGTAGTCCATTTGGGCCCACTTCACTAGCTCCTCCCTATAATCCACGGCAACGTGGCAGTGCTCATGGACCAGTTTTTCCATTCGACTGATAGTTATGGCATTCAGATGCACGGGATACTTCATTTGCATGAGCCGGAAAAGATAGGTGATAATGTGATAGCCACCCACATTCAGACGACGCACATGCTCCAATTGCAATTTTCCTCCGAGAACGGGAATTACATGGGTGGTGCTGTAGCCGAAGGAAATAAGCAGAGCATCTGATATCTGGGGGTGAAAAAATTTTGTTATATAGATGTTAACAGGGAGTACTTTTAGACAACCTTTTGACGCCTTTGCTGATAGTGCTCCCAGCTATAGAGAGCATCTATTCCGTAGGATACGGCCTTTATACCGTAACACTCGAAGAGCAGCTCGCTCATCTGCTGCCGGCAAAAGTTTGGATTGGCCAAGGCCTCTGTCAGCACAATTGGGTGATCAACCCTCTCCTGCCCCTCGAAACCCATCTTGGTGAATATGTAGTCGAAGATTTGCTCCTGATGATTCCAGTTAGTTATCACGTTCCGCTCGAAGGGACTCTTTAAATGGGCCCGCACCGCCTCGATGTTGGTTATGTCGTTGCCCACCTGGATTTCGGCAGGTGCCTCCACAACTGCCGGTTGTGCACCTTCGGAGGAGCCCTGTTGTAGAGCCTCCTTCTTGCGATCCTTGCGTGGCTTGGTCAGTACGTTGCGGAAACGCAGATCTGGCTCCTTTGAATCGCTCCAGCCCACGCGACACTCGTATGATCCATTGTCGATGACAAGGACACGTCTATCCGCCATTTCAATGGTTTATTATGCTAGTTTTCCTGCGACAAACGCTCAGTTTCGCTTCACACCTCGATTCGTAAACAAATGCGGTAAATCCAGTGTTGTAGAGTGCCATGACCTCCTGTCAAATAGAAGCAGGTGTGTTCTGGCTCTATGCGCTTCATTTTTACACTACTACTGTAACTTTTCGGTGATATATCAAAAATAAACGAATTGTATAAAAATTCCAATTCAATTTTTTACTACAGAAATAAACGAATTTTTCAAAAATTGTAATTAAGTAATACACTAAACAATAAGAATGTTTGTAGTAGAGGTAAAAATTCCTTCCGCAGACGTCCCAAACTCGGTAAGTCTTTAAAGATTTGTATTCTGGGCAAGTAAAACATATCTGAGCTTTATTTAAGTCTTCTTGCATTTGGTTTCTCTTCTAAAGATTCGTAAACAAGTCTGGTTAATCCAGTGTTTTAAAGTGTCGGCCTTACTGTAAAGAATATAAGCTTGGGCTTTACTGGTCTATAAAGTTCAATAAAAAAAACATTATCGAAGCAGTAAAACTTTTATTTATCCATTATTAAAGCAACTAAACCTGCTGTCTAAATTATCAAATTATTGTATTTTAACATAATAAAAAATGTTTGTCAAGGTGAAATTGGATTCCGACGAAAACTCGAGCGTGGTAAGCATCTTTAATAAAAAAATGTTCTACCGTATGTTAATAATATATTTACATACATGTATAAGTGGTCATCGTAAATGCTTTAGTAGTCTTATAGCGTGTTTTGATAGAATAATGCACTTTATATTCAAAAACCTAATCAGATGTATTTTTTCCATGCAAAGTCATGGCCATCTTGTAAAATTAGACCTAACGTTTTTGTCTACGCTTTATACTACAAAGTTCAAAGCTACAGTGCCGACTTGATAAAGTAAACTAGGAATTAAACACTAAATATGGAATGTGGGAGATCGTTAAAAATTCTCAATAATTTGTAAATACTTATGTAATATGGGCTTAATACGTTGCAATATAAATTTATTACTCATATCACAATTTCTTATATTTTTTAGAAGCCCCAAATGTTTGAAATTGAACAAACTGCGAACGTTTTAGATTTAAAAATGAAACTGGAGGCTTTGGTGGGGCTCCCCTTAAGCCGGCTAGAGATCCAAAACTTATCCAGGAATCTAGCAAATGATGAGAATCTGTCGGAATTGTTGCGGGTCAAGGAGCCTCGGGATTCAATAATGAAAATTAATGGATCAGCGTTTTCGCTATTAAATGGAAAGGCGTTTCTGGCGTTTTTGCAGTTTTACAATCGTTCCGAGGGCGATAGTCAGTTAAGCTTCCTAAACAGGCCATCAGATTCGATGTTATTGCCGGTCGATCGCCTGCCCCAATTTTGTGAAGTCTCGGATTCTCAAGATTCGACAATTTCTAGCATATCGGACAAGACAAACACCAGTTTTGAATCGGCCAGTACGAGCGCTAGTTCAGCGGGACGTAAAAGAAAGGCCAGACTTTCAGATGAAGAATCTGTTGCAAAAAGGTATGTTTAGTTAAAGAAATAATTCAAAATAATTCCAAATCAAATCTGACTCTAGTAACCAATAATGCCTATCACTTCTAAATAGGATAAGGAGCTCACCTTCCCCCAACGTGGTTAAAGTAGTTGCACAGAACGTGCTTTCTAATAATCAGGATGGAAAGATATCTACTTTTATCAATTCGAAAGCCATGATTTATGCCAAATCCTGTAAAAAAGAGCCTTCAGTGACTACTGAAGATTTCGACTACGAAGAGGAGCCAAATCCTCATTGCAAGGATAAGAGGGACTGCTGCACGCAGAATAAGTGTGGCATGCCAGATAATCGACCACCTTACGCGAAAACCATGCCGGAAAACCGTCGATATGGATTGGTCATCAGCAACGATGATAAAGACGCAGAAGGCGTGGACCAGGAGGCTCTAATGCGACAGTTCTTTAAATTGTTCGAAAACTGTGGAGTGCATAATTTGCACTTTAGTAGCTGTACATCAGTGGCGAAGTTTTGCGTAAACCTTCTGGTAGTTTGCGAAGATGACGAAACCGCAGACTGGGTCATTAGTGCTGTTGAAGGCGTCTGCCCACCACATACGTGCCTTCCTTTCATCAAGTTCTTCCGTCTAATAAGATGTACGTTTGTTCTTCCGTTGATCGTGCCTGGAAAACCTCTATGTTCGATTTTTGATTTGCTTGAGATGCAGAACTGCGGCATAGTCACACACAAATGGACCGTAATCGGCCGTACAATTCTCGATCCCTGCCAGGAGGACTTCAACGAAATGGCAGTATCCTCTTTGTGCGACAATGAACTAATAGAACTTTATATAGACGAGGACAGTAAGGAAATAATAGAAAACCAATGCTACAAACTAAAATACTGCTTTTGGCGACTTAAATTTGATTTTGAGTGTTAGTACTTGAAAAATTCTTAGTCTCCTTTCGATAAACTACAAAATCATGTAACAGTTACGATCGCACACTGTCTTGTGAGCTTCGCAACTTCGGGGAATACGTTTAAAATATATTTATAAGATTCGATAATAAGAGTAATTTATTGAAGTAGTTTTTGTTGATTGCGCATTGCGCAAAAGTGAAGCCGCTGAATTGTTAATAAAAAAATAGCTTTTGCTGAGCCCAAATATTTGGAAAAACCTATTTTGGTTAGATTTTTTGTCATTTTTAATGATTCAACTCCTTTCCAGATATTCGAATAATGGCTTTTTTAGAAAAGTGTACAGGAACTGCATTTCTAAGCCCATAACTTTTTTTTTACAAAAATCGGATTTTAAAGTGTCATACCTCTAAATGATTCTGGTTTAATTCTCTAAAATTCTGTGTATTCAACTTGGTTTGTATTTTGGGGTCGATTTTTCGTAATTTTTAATGATTTCGAAAAATGGCTTTGCAGAAAAGTGTCCCAGAACTGCACTTCTAAGCCCATAACTTTTCTTACAGAAATCGGATTTCAAATTGGCATGTTTCTAAATGATTGTGGTTTGATTCTCTAAAATTCTGTGTATTCAACTTGGTTTGTATTTTGGGTTCAATCTTTCGTAATTTTTTTATAGCAGAAAAGTGACATGCACTTCCAAGCTCATAACTTTTCTTACAGACATCCGATTTCAAAGTGGCATACTTCTAAATGATTATGGGTTAATTCTATAAAAATCAGTTTTTTAACTTGGTTTGTATGATATTTTTGGGTCGATTTTTCGTAATTTTTTATGATTTTCAAAAAAAGGGTTTGCAGAAAAGATTTCAAAAACTGCCTTCCTAAGTCCATATGTTTTCTTAAAAATGTATTTATAAATGACAGATTATTTTTAAGAATTATAGAATATTTAATTTTCTTTTCCTTTTTTTTTAGTTAAATGAAGTGTTTTATGAATCACCAGCAATGATTTTGGAAAGGAAAAAGTATTTTAATATTCGTGTGAAAAAAGCGCGCGAAAACGTGTAGAAAAATGACCGTATTCGCTTTTTGGCGGTCTAAGGCCGGACGGCAATTTGAGTCGGCCCGCGACGGTCACACTCGCAGAACCAGTGCCACAGGCAGCAGCGAAGAAAACCACCACCCGAGGATTAACGGATAGGAGCCTGCCTCTCGGCAGCAGCAGCCACTTCACATGGAAGCCATCGACATAGTGCGCCTGGAGGAGGCCGTCGTCTCCTTCTACCGCTCCAACTCGCAGAACCAGGCGATCACCCACGAATGGCTCACGGATGCTGAGGCCAGTCCGCAGGCCTGGCAGTTTTCCTGGCAGCTAATGCAGCTCGGCAAGGTGAGTACCCCGCAGGACCTGCGCATCAATGCATCAATTGCCCGGATATGTATACTCATGCACCTACCTCCCACCCATGCAACACCCACCAACCCAACCGCACACGCAGAGTCAGGAGGTGCAGTTCTTCGGCGCCATTACCCTGCACTCCAAGCTGATGAAACACTGGCATGAGGTGCCGCCCGAGAATCGGGAGGAGTTGAAGCAGAAGATCCTCGAATCCATCGTCCGTTTTGCCGGCGGGCCGAAGATCGTCCTGAACCGACTTTGCATCTCGCTGGGCGCCTACATAGTCCACATGCTGGGCGATTGGCCGGGCGCTATTGAGGAGGTGATCAACACGTTCCAGAACCAGCGGATGCCCAATGTAAACGCCGATGTCCAGCTGTGGATCATGTTGGAGGTGTTGCAGGCCATCCCCGAGGAGGCACAGGTCATCCACACCTCTGTCAAGCGGGTGACGCTGCGCGCCGAGATCGGCAAGCGGGTGCCTCTGGTCCTCCAGACCGTCGAGCGGTATCTCAAGCTGCAGATGAACCGCGTCTGGGACGTCGAGACCTACAGCAACATGAACAGGGCTGTCAAGTGCGTTGGCACGTGGATCAAGTAAGTGGCATCCAGAAGCGCCATCGATCATTTTAGCTTACTGGGCAGATGGTAGAATAATTTTGGTTGACAACTTTTATTTCTTATCTGTCCTATTAGCAAAGATGTAGGCAAGCCGATGATGTTTTTACAAAATAGTTTCAATTGGGTCTTCTGAAAAGAATCATTCGTACACATAATGTTTAATTCCTTTTATGAAATCAAATATGTTCATAATTAGTTTTTCTTTGTTGTATATTTGTTAACTCAAAGTACATGTATTTATCGATAGAAAATAATTGGGTTTTAAATTTAAAATATATATGTATTTAAATGTATATAAAGCTAGTTGGCCTTCCGCTCTTCTAAAATGAAATGTATTTGTTATGACCGTCACTAAGAAGAATCTTAGCAAAAGAATATTTTTTCGATAGGTGAACAATTAACTATTATGGATAATTATTGTATTATTATTGTATTGTTATGAAAAACCTTCTAAGTGTTCTTTCATTCACAGAAACATTGGCTATTCCATCGAGGGCTGCGTAACGATCACCGCTGTGCTGCTGGAAGTGGTTCACAAGTGCTACTGGCCATGTATTCACGCCGGCGATGGCTGCATGACCGCCGATGAGAACGAGCTGGCCGAGTCGTGTCTAAAGACGATGGTGAACATCATTATCCAGCCGGACTGCCACAACTTTCCGAAGACGGCGTTTGTGCTTATCAAGATGTTTCTTGACTCTTTGGCTGAAATAACAAAGACGGAGTGGAAGCGGGAAAATGACAACGAGGACATCATCGTGCACATATACATGCTATTCGTGTCCTCCGTAGAGCGGCACTCGACGCTGCTGCTCAGCGGTATCACATCCTCGGATCCGGAACTATCCGTGCTGGTACATCGCATCGTCCAAGAAATTCTGCACTGCACCGACAAGCCGGGCATCTACCCCGTGGAGGAGTCCTGCAGCACCATGGCCCTGGCCTTCTGGTATATGCTGCAGGACGAGGTGTTCGCCATGCAAAACGACGAGCAGAAGCACAAATGCTGGGAGTATATTAAACCATTGTACGCCCATCTCACTAGGATTCTTGTGAGGAAGTCGGAACAGCCAGACGAAAAATCATTGGCCAAATGGAACTCGGACGATTTGGAGTGCTTTAGATGCTATAGGCAGGATATATCTGATACCTTTGTGAGTGGTTAATGCAGTTAATCGAACTCTTTGTAATTCCAACCAAATATTGGAGTATTTAGATTGTTCCACCACTTGTTATGCGGAATTAAAACTTTTATCTTACTCTCTTAGATGTACTGCTACGATGTACTGAACGATTATATCCTGGAGATCTTAGCCGCTATGCTGGACGAGGCTATTGCCGATCTGCAAAGACACCCAACACACTGGACCAAACTGGAGGCCTGCATCTACTCCTTCCAATCGGTGGCTGAGCACTTCGGCGGGGAAGAATCGCGCCAAATACCGAGACTAATGCGAGTGCTGGCCGAGATACCTTACGAGAAGCTAAATGTCAAGCTATTGGGCACAGCCCTGGAAACAGTTGGCTCGTATTGCAATTGGCTGATGGAGAACCCTGCGTACATTCCGCCAGCCATCAACCTGCTAGTCCGCGGCCTAAACTCCTCGATGTCCGCCCAAGCCACGCTCGGCCTAAAAGAATTATGCCGGGACTGTCAACTACAGCTTAAACCATATGCGGATCCGCTCTTGAACGCTTGCCATGCCTCTCTGAATACGGGACGCATGAAGAACTCGGATTCGGTGCGGCTAATGTTCAGCATCGGAAAGCTGATGAGCCTGTTGCAGCCGGAAGAGATACCCAAGTATTTGGATATTATTGTCAGTCCCTGCTTCGAGGAGCTACAGGCCATTTGTCAAGCTGAGTCGGTAAGTAAATATGATATTTTGTTTTATTTTATTTAATCAAGACAGAAATCTATTTAAAATCAATTTTAGAATTATTCTGGTACAGCTCTATTAGATTTTTGTAGTCAACATTCAACATTAATTGACAATTTTTTTTAATCCTGCAGAAAACTCCTGCTGCTCGCATACGCACCATCTTCCGGCTTAATATGATCTCCACCCTTTTTTCTTCGCTCAACACGGATGTCGATGATGAGTCAAAGGCACTGCCAATTGTTCAACCAGTTCTCCTCGTCATGCAGCGAACTATGCCAATCTTTAAAAGAATCGCTGAGATGTGGGTGGAGGAGATTGATGTCCTAGAGGTAAGAGAATCAACCAGCAGGTGTTAAACAAGATGGAATAATTTGATCGTTTTTGTAGGCCGCTTGCAGTGCCATGAAGCATGCGATCATGAATTTGCGAAGCAGTTTCCAGCCAATGTTGCAGGATCTATGCCTCTTTATTGTTGCCAGCTTTCAGACCCGATGCTGTGCACCAACTCTGGAGATATCCAAAACGGTAAGATTTTTTAAGTTAAAAAATTGATTATAGGCTATAATACAATACTTTGTTCCAGGCCATTGTCATGTTCTTTAAGGACGAGGGCTGCAAGCCGCTGATGCAGCAACTTTTGAGGGAGTTTATACAGCACAGCTTTAAGCTTTTTGAGAGCACTCCCGAACAGAACTTCTCCAACATTTCGGACACTATGGAAACTTTCTTCGGCTGTCTGTCGCAGATCGTGAAGAAAATTCCGCAGGTCTTGGAAGACAAGACATTGGCTTACGATCGTCTCGTGTTTTACGCGCAGCGGGGAATGACATTGCCGGAGAGTGGAGCTATACGGAATAGTATCCAGTTTCTCACCCACTTTGTAATGCAGTCGCGCAACCATCCCCACGTCACCGACGTCGTCCTGGCAACAGGCGAACAGACCCTCTATACGACAATGATGTGCGTAGGGTATCTTACGCCGCGATCGCAGGTTGACAAGTTTGCAGACATCCTTCTCGCCATGAACAAGAAATACCCCGCTGAAATGGCCGTTTGGATGAAATCCTTAATGGCAACGCCCAATTTCCCCACCCAGCTTATAACGGACGTGGATAAAACGCGTTACACAGCTCTTATAGTCAAGTGAGTGAGGCTTAAACCCTTTAGTATTGATCTTTATATCGATCTTATTTATATTCTTTAAATAACTTTCCACAGGGAAAAGGTCAACAAGAGGTTATTGCAACAGCATCTATCCGAAATGGCTATAAAGACGCGAGGACTCACCGAGAAATTTCAGTGAATGTAAAATTATGCAATAAGTGGCCAAATCACATCTCTATCCATCCGGATTCTGATCTAGTTTTTGTAATTGTATTTAATTTGTAATTAGGCAGCTCTGTAAATGTTCCTCAATCTTAAGTTTTGCCACCAGGCATAGGTTCAATTAGTTTTCCTATTTCTTTTTTGGAAAAACTGCTTTGCTCTCGACTTGATAAACTTTTATTTATAATTTTACAAAATTACATGCTTCATTTACAATTTGCATATATATTTTTTAAAGGGTGTATAACTCATTTATTTATTGTTTTCACTTTTAGTAAATATTTTGTAATTTTTTTATATATAATTCTTATATTGAAAAGTTTGATTTTCACCATTTCCTGTATGAAAAAATCTGCCTTTCTAAGAATTATTTTCCCTTTACCTTTCCACATTTTTATTGTTTTGCAATTTTCCACATTGTGTATGTATCTATAATGCCAAAAATATGTAAATACATCTCTTTATATAATATATATTTGTGTCTATAGCTAAACTGAAGCCTTTCGTTTTCTTGGCGTGTACAGCACTTGGTAGTGGTAGCAAAACTTTTGATCTGCTTCGTCGCCTTCATCTAGATTATTTGAGAATATCTGCATAATTCCTTGTCTAACGGACCCGGTAGTGACTATAGAACCAAACAAGTGGTTGACACGGATCTTATATTAAATATTTGTATATTTAGATTAACATATAGAATAATATGCTACGACCAGCAAAGTCCAAGTCTGTTTTTTTTGTTGTGAATGATTCGGGAGCTGGTGACGATAGAAGGAAGCTTATAAATATATATTCTCCTCTGGGGTAATAATTTTGGTAAGGGGCCCAGAAATTGGCACATTCTTGATTCTTCACGTTCTTCAGGATCGAGTCAGCGTTTCCACTGGCTTCAAAACAAAAAAACACCTAATCCGGTTTCTCGATCTTTAGGAATACATTTGTCCCCACATATATTTCTATATATAATATGTAATACATACAAAAATACACACATATACATACATACCACAAATTATCTGTCCTTCTGGGTGATATTTGTTTTTATAAATATTTATAGGTAAGCTGCTAACTGCTAAGCTAAATAGCATATAATATTTGTAAATTTGAGTTGTGGAGTAGTTAAACATATATACGTATATATAGTATGTTTGTGTATGCATGTGGTGTGGTGATCATATAGCTATGTCGAAGTATGTGGCAGAAGTCGAAAGATATAATCAATCAAGGTGGTAAACGCCTACGCCTTAAGTTAGACAATTCAAATTCAACTGTACAATTTTATTTTCACGTGTTTACTGAAATGGTAAGAGCATAATTAGAATACCAAAAATTATTGCATATCTGATCGTATCGATAAAGCTTTAGCTTAAGCAGCAGCATGCAAAAGCAGAACGAAAAGAGAAATACTAAGATTCACTGTGGCATGCGTTGTAAAAAGTAAACTGAAAATGCATTTGCTAACAAAAATTGATATAATCGATCTCGTTTGGGATTTTAGATCTTTATTGGTACTATGCATGTTCATTATAGATAAGTATTTTGTATGTTTATATAAAGAAATTGTGTTGCAATCTTTGCACGCCCCCACTAAGCCCCAAAATGCAATGCGATGACATCGCTTAAAATTGTTTGTTCTAGTTGTGCTGATCCTATCCTTCTTCTCTGGGGTTGTGGTATATATGCTTTCTGGCCTAAGTTTGGAGTGTGGGTGTATTTGGGGTTTTGGACTATTTTCTCAAAGCCTCGGGCTTTTAAGAAATAATATTGGTGGCGTCGGCTGACCAGCTCTTTCCTATTAGTTGCTTCCATCTGACGGTGGCGTGGTGAGGTACTCATCCGTTCGCTTGTGCTCGATAAGCGCCTTGACAGTCCCACTATCCGACGGCAGGTCCGATTTCCGGCGCAGCAGCGGCTTGTCCTTGTTCCGCTCTCCACGAATCTGTGTGGAACGGGAAGGGGTTTGGCAATAGAAAATGGGACCTCTAACTGACAAATGCAGCTCAACACACACTGGACAGGCTGAAGTTACACGTTGGTGCGGGATGATTAAAGCTATCGTTATTGAGTGCGAATCTAGATTGAGATTTAGTGGAGGTCCCAAAGTGCCCACCATTTGGACTATGAAATGTACATCAACTTATCAGAAGTCGAATTACATATATTACACAGTTCCCTTGAGATCGAGTGTGTTTAGGTGTATTTTTTTTGAGGTGTTAACAAAATGATTATAATTTTGAAGACATTTGAGAACATTATGTTACAGATTCAAGTAAAAATAAATATACAAAATTAGTCATGATTATCATGTTATCGATAAAAGAATGCTAAATTATAAAAAATAAAAAAAATTTTCCAAACGTTTTAAAGGTTTGCTTCCAAAGGCAAGGTGCAAATCGGGATTCTTAAGCATGATTTAAAAAAATGTATTGATTTTGTCAATAAATTTTCCAATAGTATATTATTTAATTTAAAAATGTATTCCAACTCAGAAATCAATTAAAATTGAATAAAAAAATAGTAATACTTTGAAACCCTTAAAACTGGACTTTTTAAAAGTGAAATATAGAGATTTCTGTTATTTAAAGACATGCTCGAAAATGGAAAATAAATAAATATATATGTAAATATGTATTTAATAAAACACGAAAAACATTCTCATATTAGAAAACACAACAAATGAATTGTAAGATGATAAAAGTAATTTCTACATAATAAATATTCTGTTAAATATGGATTCCGCCCAGTTTCGAATGAGGTGATCCACTGCGCTCAACCAAAGTGCAAGCCGAATGTTAGACACAGATAGAGATAGATTTTGTGTCGTGGGTGGATTCATGAATTTGTTTAGGTTGGCAGACAGTGAAATAACCAAATAACTAATAAATAAATAGACAAAGTTAAAAGATATACAAATATGTATTTTTTTAAATGACATGAGTGTGATTATTTTAACAGACATTCGTTCGATTAGAATTAGAGTTGAACCAGAGTGGGCCTTAGCTGGGCACAGCTCACAGCAGACGCCAGGATCACACGTGGCGGATTAGTAGTTGTTTAGTGTGGTTAGTGTGGCAAGTGCCTGTCTCACCTCTCGGGGCTCCTGGAGCGCCTGTTTTTGGGGCGGCAGTGGAGGCGGCGGCTGGCGCGCCTGCTGCTCACTCTGTTCGTAGGCTAGATCGCAATTCTCACTATATTGATCGTACAGGGCCCGGCTTTCGCTGAGCGGCAGGCAGTCATTGAAGCGGCGCGCCTTAGTCCATTCCGGGTTGGTCTTGGCCAAGCTTTCCACCTGCTGCCAAAGCTCCTCTCTTTGCGACAGCTTCTCACGCTCCCTAAAATGCAAACAAAGCAATAGTTATTTGGATGCTAAAATGAACACTAAACAGAATTCGGATTCAAAAAATAAAAATACCAACATAAAATCGTAAAAATCAAATTCATAAAACCAATAATGACAGAAATAGAATTTTCAATAGATTTTTTTAACTTTAGTAAGTGTAACCTATATTTCTCTTGTTTCACCTACATCTGCTTTTCCTGTTTGTAGTTCTTGCTGCACTCGTCGAAAAGCCGCTGGTCCATCTCCATGAATAGTTTGAGTGCATTGTAGATTAAACCATGGATGGTCTTGTTCCAGTGCGTCTTTGAGTTACGGTTGAGCGCTGGGAACATGATGGGTAATATCACCGCCGAGTTGTCTGCTATCAGCGACATAATGTACTCATTGTTCCAATAGTACAATGCCCGCTCGGCCACCTGGAAATGCGGCGACGAGACACACTTGGCTATCTGACGGAATAGCGGAACCATCACCTTCTGGAATTCGGCCGGCTCAATAACGTCCAGTAGCTCCTCAAGTTCGTTCAAAAACATCACCTCCTTGGGACTGTGTGTCTTCGGCCAAAATTTAAGCAGGCTTCTGCAGAAATATAGAAAAAATATATTATTTTAAAACGAAAATTGAAATTAATTAAAACTCTACAAAAACAAACTATGACTAATTAATAACAACTTTTAATGATTTTACTCACTTGATGACCGCCTCCGATAAACTAGGATCCTTCTCAAGGAACTGCACCACGCAGTAGGTAAGCTGCGGATGGTAGACCGAGAGGCTCTTGGCTTTGTGCAATGGCAGCAATACCTTAAGTAAAAATTGTTTGTGCTCCTCTTTGAGCGGTAGAGCGAAGCCATTAATAATGCTGCCCAGAATTTCCAATAATTCGGCTATGCCATTATGATGTTCCGTTTCGTAAATAAATCTAAATGATGCAGCCAGTTAGATTAGGTTTGTATGCTTTAAAGACAATCTCACCTGTAAAAGACATTGTTGATCTGCTTCCTAATAAATGCTCTCAAGCCCAAAAATTTTCCATAGATGCGATGTAAAACAGTCTTTAGGAAATCACGTTCACGTGGATCCTCCGAATCGAATAAATCCAATAGTTGTAATACAAATTGATGGTCGATAAAACGTTTAGCCATGTTTGGTTGGAAGTCCGGTGACTCCAAGAACCGCAAGAACAGCTCATAGACTAGTTGTAGGTGCGGCCACGAAGATTCCAACGTAGGTTCATCCTCCTCCGGATCGAATTCGGCGCCATTCGGATTGGACGATGGCGGCAGAGTTCGGAAAAGATTGACAGCAAACTGGTAAGAGAAAAATCAAATCAATTAACTTGGTTTCAATATTTTCAGAATTAGCCAAATAAATATTTAATAAGGAATAAAACAATTATTTTGGTATTAAAGCAAATTAATATAAAATAACTTTCAACATGAATTGTCGAATTGGAAAGTAAAATCTTTTATTAAGTATAATAATTAGTGATATTCCTGATAACTCATAGACAGACAGATAAAGATTACTAATAGAATTGTTAGCTAACCATATTGATCGCCTCTGGGTAAATAATTTCGGTGATGACGCCATTTTGGTTGGTGAGGAAATCGACCATTTCGTGGAGGGCCGCACGCTTCACTTCCTTCCATTTGAGGTCGCTCAGCGGCTCGGAGAAGTCGAATAGTGTGCAGCATTGTCGGATCTTCTGTATGAACAGCTCTTCTCGTTCACTAGTGGCCGTCTCTAAGGAAATATAAAATAAAATATTATTACTTTAAAGGTTACGTGGAGAGATTAATTTTAATAAACCATACAAAATTGACCTTAATTTAAAATAAATAAAACGTACAACTACTAAACAACCAACAAAAGCAGGCAAGCGAAACTAAAAAACGAAGTTAATGGAGATCAGAAAGGATCAAATAGTTGAAGGACCTCAAGCCCAAGGGCAATGGGGGTGGCGTAACCCCCATAGCCTTTGGCCCGGGGCCACTTGGGATAGCAACCTCGCAGTGCAGGCAGCGCCAGGGCAACGGAAGCGGTGGGTGGCGAGTAGAACAGATTCCGATCGCGTGCCCTTCCTGGACTGCCCGTCAGCTGTTGCAGCGTCTGGGACGAGGCCTGGAGACCCGGATACCCCTGGACAATATCACCGTTCTGGCGGATGCTCAGGCTGGATGTGGTTACCACCAGGCTGGCGTTCGATGTCGCCACAACTGCCGATGACGGGTTCGCAGCACTGCCATTGCGCTGGCCAAGCCCCAGTGAGATGCTAATGCCGCCCACCAAATTCTGGGCCACCGTGGGACGCAGCTCCTCTGCGGGCACATCGCTGTTGGTGGAAACGATGGCGACGACGGCAGCGGTCGTTGGCACCACCGGCGTGGAGGATGAGGTTGATGAGGAGGACGAGGCCGCAGCACTGGTTCCCACATTCTTGGTGGCATTCAGTATGTTCTTTATGGCCGCGGCCGCGCTTACAGGTGACTGGAGGATGAGGTAGCGATGAAATGAGAGCAGAGTAGTTTTTTGGTTTATCAACTTTAGGTTCGTTTAATTGGGATGGAAAGTGTGTGGTGTGTGGAATAATGACTGACTGGATTAGCTTTAATAACAGCCCTAGGATTTTAGTAAATAAGGGTGGAACGACTAATCTGAATTAACTTGGTGTTTTTAAATTAGTTTTTTTCGTCGTAGTCACTAAAAGTTAGTTTAATTGTCAATTAACCCTTTTTTTCGCAATATACGCCGTGACTAAAAACTTGTTTTCCTCACATAGGCTTGTGATATTCAATGTACTTAAAAAAAAATTAACTACAAAACTAATTTCTTGAACAATTTCTTAAATTTTTTAAACATTTGATTTGATTATTTTCTGATTTTTACTATTTCAATAGCTTATTCAGTCAGTGAAAAGATTAAAAGTGTTTTATCTGTGTTAAGTATTTTATGGTGCGGATGTGGTAATGTGTGACGGGTTGTGGGTGTAGGGTTCGCTGAATGTGTGTGGACATAACCAAGCTGCAAACCTTGCTGGCGGCGATGGAACTGCCTGCGTTGTTGGTGGCGGTGGAAGAGGAAGCTGATGAGGAGGAGGCTGCAGCGACTGCGGCCGATGCTGCGGCGGAGGTGGCCGCTGAGAAGTGCTGCGCAAGAGTGGACACAAGCGAGTTGCCAGCACTTGCAGGACCTGCTGTCGTCGAGCTACCCAAAGCTCCTGATCCTGATCCCGCTCCTGCCGCGTTCTTCGACATGCCGGCATTCGAGGATAGCGACAATGAGGAAGTGGAGGACTGTGATCCAAACGGCGAGGAGGCAATCAGAGCCGCAGCCGCCGAATTAGCTCCACCGCCGTAAGTGGCTGCCGAGGATGAGCCTGAGGAATTGGCCGCCGCCGAGGCTAGCGAGGATGATGCCGCCTGGGAGAGCGAGGACAGCGCCGAGGCCGAGGAGTTGGAGCTAGTGGACGAGGACGAGGGTGAGGAGGATGTGGTGGTGGGTACTCCTGAGCCGGCTGCTGCCTCAGGGGGCGAGAGGGGCGTTTTCCGCCCCTCGAACTTGGCCTTGAGCTCCTCCACGCTGCTAAATTTGAACCGGCTACCGGCCTGCTGCTGCTGTTGCTCTTGACCCTGCTGATCCCGATCCTGTTCCTCCAACTCGTCGTCGGCCAGCTGATCTAGGCCGCTGTGAAAGGATGGTGATTTAGGTATGCGTATGCCGAGGGCATAATATCCAGCGGCAATGGGTTGCTGATCCTTTTCCTTGTTGGAGGATCTAATGGCCGCCGGTTTCGTTTGCTCCAGTTCCTGCTGCTCCTGCTGATTCTGATGGTTTTGCTGATCCTGCTGATGTTGCTGCTGTTTGGGACCTTTGAGCCCGTTGCCCGTCAGCAACATAGCACCGAAGACCATCTCATTAGTGCCGGCACTTGGTTCAAATGGCACTCGATTTGAATCTTAATAAGAATCGCCTTTTTTTTCAGCCGCCCCCGCCGACCAACAACAACACATGAGAAAGACTACACTAGAAACTCAATTTGGGCTCGCTAAGCATGAAACTATAGAATCTGTAATGGAATTGCAATATAGATAATGGTTTAGATTAATGCCAAATGCGATTATGCCTTGATGGGAACATAAAACGAAATGAAATGCATTGTAAATGGAAATGAAAATGGAAATGAACGACAATGCCTCTGGATAAAAGTTTCCTTTTGCCGAAAAATGCGGCTTCAATAATTTATGAAAACTTACGATTCAAAGGGAAAAATTAGGGAATAGAAGAGAACAATTAACTGGGGGAACGAATATTTTCAACTAATATTTTGGGGCTCTCGACGTTGCACGGTCTTGAAACGGTTCTTTTTTGTTGCTTCGACTGCTGCGCCAATCGGAAAAATCGATATCAAGAGAAGAAAACTGAGAGAAATAGAGAGAGAAAGTGGTGGATGAGTGATTGGGAGAGCGGTTTATTGGCAGAGAGCCAACAACAATAAAATCTAAAAAATAATAATATTTAACAACATTATTTTTATTCGATTTCTGAGTCAAAACTGCTTAAGCAATTAGGTAAAGGTAAGTAAATAACACTACAATAACAAACTACCGATGACACTAATAGAACACAGAAAAAAATTCGTAACGAAATCATTGCGCAGGTACATTTACTAAGTAGAAATTCTAATTTCGTATATTAGTGAATAATGGTAGTGAATAAAGGTAAATGCTGGTGTATATCGTATTTTTCGCTAATAACACAAAAAAAGCCAGGTTGATAAATATTAATTTGAAATGTTCGACCTTATTTTGGTTTTTTGGACTTATAATATTACAATGTTGGCCAACTTTGCCAAAATTAAACTTATTAATTTTTCCTTCTGTGTAAAAGAGAAGCTGTGGAGAGAGCGCATGTGCTAAAGTTCCATTTTAGAAGAATGTGCATTTGGGAGAGGTGTAAATGTTGAGGCTGAGTGTGCGGTTGTGAGAGTGGGCCGTGCGTCAGTGTTGCCACCCACCTAATCAGACGACACTCCCTTGACCTTTAACTTTCGCGTACGTGATTAACAAATAATAAACAAATTACAACAGCTGAGCGAAATTAAATAGCAACCAGTAACAAAAAGCTTCAGGATCGGCTTCCATTCCAGTTTACTCAACAAACTTGCAGATACGGTAGTTATAACGACGGAAATTCACCGAGCTTTTTAGTTTTTGTAAGATTAAACGGACATTTAGGGTTTTACAAAAAAAAAATTGTTAATATTCTTTGAAATTTAAATCTATGCGAAAGCCAGTTGTGAGATTGAAAACTCTCCCATTTGACTTCCTGCTCTGAAAAGTATGCTACAACTCAAGGACATGTCAATTATGCTACATAACCGATCTGCAGGCTTACGAGTAACTGCATTACGCATAATAGTAATACTTATTTGTAGTATATAGTAATATCCTTCAGGGTTACTCACTCTCGTTCAGAGGACTGAGGGCCGTCAGTTCGCAGTTTTTGGACGCATTGTATCGGGCGCTGATCTGGCGTTTTTCCTTGCGGACAAGCGGGGTGCCGGTAAGGTTCAGGCCCTTGGTGATAGGCGTGGGCGGCGGTGCATCCCGCGGTGGTGTGCTGTCCTTGTCTTTGTTAGCCTGCAAGTGCCGAAAATTTAGATTTTCTTTGCCAACTCTTTTCAGGTTATGAGTTTGGAATCCAAACTTTGGTTCATAGTAAGTAAATGATAAGAACAACGAATGCAAAGCAATATATGGTCGACAAAAGCATACTCAAAACGTAGCACTTGCAAAATCAGAGCAGATAAGAGGGGGTCCTTCGTTGCCATTTCGGCGATCGCTTTTACCTTGGACTGGGCGAATCCTTGACGTCTAAGACGCGCTGCCTGTGGGTGTGTTTTAGTCTGAGTTTAGTAATGCTGAACATAGAGATGTGCACTGGGTCAGGGACTTGGAGTTCGGTTGGCATTTCATACACATATAGGGTTATATGCCGGCATCTACCAAGGATAAGGTGGTGTCTCAAACTCAGGTCTTGCAAATATATTTTTGACAGGCGCTAACTTAGAAACTATTTTTTACGCCGTTAATGTCTTTTCTATTGGCAATATTTGGTTCAGAAAAATATATTTTGGGTCAAGAACAACATTTTTTAACTAAAACTCTAAAAGCTGATGATTTATAATACCCAAAAAAATAGAATTGTAAAAGAAAACAATTTTTAAACTATTTTCAACGAATAAATCTTAGCTTACACTATCGTCAATTAGTGAAAAGAGGTTTCAATTTTTGGATTCTGTAAGATTTTAAGATAAAACCTTTTTATCTAAAATCAGAAACATAAAATCGAAAAAAAAATAATTGGGAAATATTGCTTTTTAAAATAAAAATGTTTCATAGCAACTTTTTTGTACTAATTTCTTTCACTATTAGTTATAGTGTTAATATTTATAATGATTGTTTTTTAAATTTAAATTCAATTTTTAAAAGGCTGAGAACAATAAGATTTCCCAGCAAGAAATTGTCAAATTTGAAAGGCTAACAGGGCCAATTGCTGTTTGGCTTTTCAAGTACTCTTGATAGATTTCTGATTCGATTTGTTATCCAAATGACACACACTCACTTCACAATTGGCAACATTGAAAATCTAATTGGTGTTGGTCAATCTAACTTGCAAGGGAAGGGGTGATAATAACACACATCATTTGCACTGATTAGATTAGATAAAGTTAAGGAACTGTTGTTGTGCTTTTTATAGAGTACCAATTACATACACACAAACTGACAAAGTACGAGTAAGCATTACTCTAAGGCTTACGCCAAAATAACGGTTCACATGCGTAGGGCGACAGGTGAAAGAGAGTGATAGAGAAAGTTTGGAGTGTGGTGGGTGTAAGGTGTTTTGGCACAACTCTACTCACCTCACTGCTGATTGGAACACAGTCGCTGGTCAAGACAATTGGTATGGCCGCCGTACTGGTTCTTGTTGCTGCTCCTACTGTTGCAGTTGTTGTTGTACTTATGTTACTGTTACTCTCTTTGATACCGTTAGTGGCAGATGCCGGTATGACTATGTTGTTGCTGCTGCTGCTGCTACTGTTGTTGTTTTTGGCCGTTTCGTTTTTTGATTCTGCCGCAGAAGCTGTGCTTGTTGTTGTTCCTACTGCTCCTCCAACTGTGGCTGTTGTTGTCTCTGCTGCTGGCGCCGCTTGCGACGTACTGCTCTTTGTTGTTGGTTCTAACGCCTCGTTATCCATAATACGCAATCGGTTCTTTTGGCTCTTTGGATGTGCTCTTTTTTTTTTGTTTTTTTTAAAAAAAAAACCAATGAAAACCAGCAAAAAAACGAAAACGTAAACAACCGGACAAACAAACAAATACAACAGCCGGGCGCTGGACCGCTCTCAATTGATTGCTATCTGAAAATTATATTTGCACTGTGGAGTGTCGAAAGAAAGAAATTAACATAGCAATAACTAAAAGAAAAATAACAACAACACCAGGCAATTAAAGCTACAAAACCACACTCAAACTCACATACATATGTACACACTCATTGAGGGCCAAAAAAACCAGGAGTTTACTAAAATGAATTTTAATTTTCAAAATTGCATATACGAGTCGATGAAATTAAAATTCGTACAAGCTTGCTTTGATTATTCATCTCTTAAAAATAAACAATGAAAATGCTTCTGTATTTTCCTATAAATTTATTTTTTAACGATGTAGTGCACCAATTTTATTTTTAAAACAACAAAAAATCATTTTAAATTCAATACAAATATATTAAGCGTAATATGTTTAGAAATGTGCCCAAAGTCTCTGATTTGGTAAATAGTTTTCCACTGCATGATTGAAATATTGTTTTTAAGTCCAAATCGGCAACGGAATAAGCTTTGTAAATTGTATTTTGGTTAAAATTACAAAACATGAATTTACAACCACAATTTTGATTTATTTTTATTAGAAACATACAAATGCTATTTTTTTTGTTAACCGCCACTGTAAACGCAGTGCCAATGGGAAGCGGAGCAACCTTTGAGAAGCTCTCGCTGTGCGCTTTCCAATTGGAATTGCCTTAATGGCGGAAAACCGCTTCGAATCAGAGATCCAAAGTTGTCACAAGAAGTCCCCACAGAAGTCTCTAGCATAGCATAGCAAATCCGGTTCTAAACGGTACCACAATACAAACACGTTCATGCAGCGTACCCCGGTTATTGCTGTAACTTCTAATTGGACAGGTGGTGTTGTGTATTTCGGATTGGGTTTAAAAAACATTACGATTTTTTATTTTTTCGCACAAAACTTACACTTAAACGGAAATAAATAACAAAAATGCCAAAACAATCGCGGGCGAGAGCGAGCGAGAAATTAGAGAGCAAAAGAGAGAGAGATGCGAGGGACGAGCAACAAGTTGCGAAGCAATGGCCGTCGACCAATTGCCAGGGTTGCCAGGCATGCTAAGAAAATGGGGGGAAGAAGAGCGCTTTTGGGTGGTGTTGGTTTTTCTACTTTTTTCTTTGGAGGTGCAAGGATGGGCATTCTTCAACACAAACATTGTTAATGCGATGAGCAAATACTCATACATATTTACAGAGGGGGTGCAACAGAAAGAGACAGCAATAGCCGGAGAGCGTAAAAATAAAATGTGTACTAGGCATAATTAATGTTTGTAGTTGCACTTCCAAGACCCAAACACACAATAAATATACGTGGGGAAAACGATTATAACTTTGAATGTCACGGGGCGAGGTTGTTTTTTTGGGGAATATTTGGGCTACATTGCCAATTTACCGCCAGAAGCTGGAAGAACTTGTTAAATTTGCCCCTGCTGCGATATAGGTTCGCCAACATCAAATTTACTGCTGATAAAAGCTTGTTCTTTACGTAAAATGCGAGTTCTAACAAAAAACGCTTGCACACGCACACAGTATCACAATCTTGCACACACACTCAAACCGCTCTCGCGTTAAAATTTTATACGAGGCTGCGAATTATTTGCGCTGCAATTTCCTTCGATCGCTGCGATTTGATTTTCGCGTGCGAATTTCACAAGGCTCGCTCGCGAATTTCGCACCCAATTGTTCGCGGACTATTGGCACCGGGGTCAAGTTCACCTTTTCGCTGAGAACGCCTGTGCAATTGCAATTATATATTTTTTGTAAACTGTTTTATTCACGCAACGTTTTCGGTGCTCAATAGAAAATAGAGTTGCCAGGGCTGCAGGCGAATTATGGCGCTGCCAGACTTTTACAGCTTTCGATAGTTTTCTGTAACCCGCTTGTATTTTAACCCGCTTTAGAACTTTTAAAATGTTTACAATATATAAAAAAAATCATAATATTAATTAACTTACCATTTAACATTACTAAAATTTAATTTCATTAAAAACCAGGGCTTTGGCGCCATCGATAGTTTATAAAAATACCTTTACTATTGCAAGTCCAGAAAAATTGTAATATTACAAAAATTAAGAGTTAAGATAAATAAACAATGTATAAATATCTTTTTATATATCTATATAAACTAAATGTTTTGCGACAAACCCGGACATTGGCCACATTTATTAGCTTTTTAATTGATATCCTTTGTTACTTACACTGAAAGCCTAAGAAGTTAATAAATTATTCGTTTTTATGTCTATATATGTAAGCTTTAATAACTTTTATTTTCTTGCCACAAACCAGGGCTGATTAACTTGTTTCCAACTTCTGGCATCTACCATCAGGTGGCAACGCTTAAGACAGATTGTTTATATTGCTTGTGAGCCAAATTTTTTATTTTGTATTAACTTTTTGGCATTTGCTATGCAGATCACAATCAAAGTGCTTAAGGGCCAGGACTGCACGCTCGAAGTAACCTTTAACTATAGCCCAAAACCACAAAATACTTTTTTTATAAAGAAATTTTCCACGCAGGTCTCGCCGACATCCACGATTCTCGAGGTGAAACAACAGATCGAATCGGAACTCCAAATATCGGCAGCCAATCAAAAGTTATTGCTTCTGGGACGTCCTTTAAATAATGAGCAGACAATTGCATCCTATCCTAATATCAAAGAGGGCACCAAACTCAATCTGGTGGTGATGAAACCCTGCCTGAGGGACAGCATCCTGCGGGGATTCCGGAAGCACTATCCGGAAAACCAGGCAGAGCGGTTGACCAATGAGTTTATGGCCGACTTTGAGAGGAAAATTAACGAACAGAGCCTGGACGATTTGGAAAGATTGGCGGATAGTATTGTCAGCAGAGCGGGCACATAGCCATAGGCACATAAAAAACCCACCCCAATATGACGATAGTCTATTATCCTCACCCCATTGTTTTTATTTCCCCCACAAAACGAGGTAGTAAAAATTAAGACTTGACTGAAAAGTACAACCCATTTTGTTTTCGACGGCGGTCTGGCAACTCTGCCCCAGGTGCACTTTGTAGTATATGTGTGTGTGTGTGTGAGAAGAAGAAAGAGAGGAGAAATGCGTCTGCTGTCGTGCAAATTTCTTGGCCGAGTTGTGAACTCCTCGCTGCCCCAACAATTTAATTTGCGATCCTTCACCAAAACAGTTCCAGCAATGGTGAAAGTAAGTGGAGGTTACCAGGAAAACCCGATTTTCGGCTAGTGTAGCACTCATTACATAAGCCGGTGGGGCGAACTGCATAAATATTGATTGCGGCTGATGAGAAATTGCAACGCTTCAAGGTTACCTCACTCTCTTTTTTTTCTATTATAAATGTGTGTTTTTGGGAATTCTAGGTAGGTGATTCTCTGCCCTCAGTGGATCTCTTTGAGGATTCGCCAGCCAACAAGATAAACACAGGTGATCTGGTTAACGGCAAGAAAGTAATCATATTCGGCGTACCCGGCGCATTTACTCCCGGCTGTTCCAAGGTAAGTAACACCACGCCAATTTCTACATAGATTCATTTGCATTTAGCACAAGTGAGTAATTAATGTACATAACCCGCAGACCCATTTGCCTGGCTATGTGAGCTCCGCCGACGAGCTGAAGTCAAAGCAGGGCGTGGACGAGATCGTCTGCGTTTCGGTCAACGATCCCTTCGTAATGTCCGCTTGGGGCAAGGAGCACGGTGCCGCTGGAAAGGTGCGCCTTCTGGCCGACCCTGCCGGTGGGTTCACAAAGGCCCTGGATGTGACCATCGATTTGCCACCACTTGGTGGCGTGCGCTCCAAGCGCTACTCCCTGGTGGTGGAGAACGGCAAGGTGACCGAGCTGAATGTGGAGCCCGATGGTACCGGACTTAGTTGCTCGTTGGCCAACAATATTGGCAAGAAGTAAATGGATTTTAGACTCCTAAAAATGCTAAAAACTCATACAGTAATGCTAGGCCGCAATGATATCAATTACGTCTTCAAAAGAACTATGTAGCACGTACAATATATGCGATTAGAGATGTTATGTCTAGTTGTTTGCTTTAATATCTAGTTGTGGGCTTAGTCTTTAATCTTATCTTAGGGTTAGCGGTTGTCCGTGTTGGGGGCGATCTTCTGCGACAACAGTTTGCCATAGCCGCCTCTTCCGGCGTCGTAATCCGTGCGATATTCATCTCGCACCTGGCCGCCGGTTTTGCCGCGTCCATATTGCCTGCCCTCAATAAAGCCGGCGTCCCAGTCCACACGAATCAGTCGATCATCCAAGCGGGTGCCATTCACAAACCTATACGGTGGATAAAGAATACAAATATATGGATTTCAAACTCTTCTTTAAACTTCGAATACAATATCCTTAAATAAAATAGTTTGGTAAGAACTGGTTGCGGTCTTGCTGAGACTATTATAGTCTAATATAATTTCCTTTCTGTTTTCCTGCCTTTTTCGCAGTTTAAAAGCTATTCAAAAGCAAACATTTTCACATTTAGTTATGAGTACAATAAGGCAGATACCATAATTCTCTTGGGAAGGTTCAGCAAGAACATATTCTATACTCCAAAAATAATAAGTTAAAAATTAGATCTGCTTGCACATTAATAGCACTTCTTTGACTATTAATACTTAAGTACTATTTTGTGACCACTCCAGACCTATAAAGCTCTATAAGTACCGGGAACAATGTGACTTTCCCTCTAGAGATGTTGGCTCACCTCATGGCCGACTCCGCCTCAGACCTAATGTAGTACTCCACAAAACAGAAGCCGCAGGGCGTCTTCTTGTACTTGTCCAGACCCATTACTATTACCCGGACATCGCCGCATCGCGAGAATAGTTCGTGGATCTGCTCCTCCGTCGTGTAGAAGCTCAGATTTCCCACATATAGTGTACACGAGTCGCGGAGGGATCTTTCTTGTTCCGACCGAGAGCCCTAAAATTGGGTTATTGTCTTAAAAACTGGTCGATTGGCTCGGGGATATACTCACCTTGAAGTGCTGATCACGATATGAGCTTAATTCTACGGATGCAGCCATATTTTCGGCTATAAACTAATGAAATATTTTCTACGCGTTTATTTAGTGGCGGCAATCCAGCGATTGATTTTTCGATAGATATGCTGGTCATCGCATGCTGTGACCGTTTCACATGCAGTATATATCGGTTGCCAGAAACTGTGATCCTATTAGATAGTTTCTGTTTAAAAAAAAGAATCAACACTCAGTGCAAATTATATCCTATCTGAAAAGTCCATTTAAATAAATCTGCATTTTCCTTAAAGATTAAATTTTTTTCACAATACAAGATTTTAATAGAATATCTTTATTTTAAATGAATTTTTTTTGCTAGCCGATATATACAGTGTTTACTTTTTGGTATTTCCGGCACGCGTTAGTACATTTTGAAATCACTGCTGCTTTGCACAGACATTTCTCAGCTCGTTGTTATTATTATTTTTATGGAATTCACAAACCGTACTTAATGAACACCTCACTCAACTCCGCGGGCGGCAAGCGACAACTGCGCTTTCGCGGCGACGTTACCGGCAGTCGGGTGGAGGAACTGCATCACCACCAGGACGAGATAAAGCAGAAGGCGCTCGCCCAGGATGACGTTGCAGCGACGCCGACTGCGACGCAGAGCGGTAAACATGGATTTTATTTAGGGGAAAAGCACTTATAATATAATTAAATTACAATTAGTACTCACTTATAAAAAGTGTTGTTTAATATATAACATTTGAGGCTCCTCATAAACATTAAGTTTAGGTGCTAGGATCTCAAATACTCATCTTTTTATTCTAAATTAAAATTTAAATAAAATTGAACAGACAAAATACAATAAGAGCTTAAAAAATACATCATAATTAATCATAATAAGTAAAAACGGTTAGTTTCTACTTTTATTGTTTAATGTTAAAAGTTTAGTAAATGTACTTGGTATGGAATTTAAAAAGAACGTAAGAACCCAAATGAGTGTATCCCCAAACAACTTTCTAGACATTCAATATATTTTACCCCCCTTGCACTTTTGTACCTATTTTAGGACCCACAGAGACTGGCACCAACACATTCTACGACTTCTTTAAGGTGGAGATGACTCGCGGCTATATGCTGGAGCACGATGAAGAGCGCTATTCGGCGCGGCGGCAGAAGATCTACAGTTTCATGCGCATACCACGGGATCTCGAGCGGTTCATGGTTTACGGGATCATGCAGTGTGCCGACTCCTTCTTATACATCCACACTTTCCTGCCCGTCCGATTTCTAATGGCTATTTGGGCCTTGGTTTCCAGGACTTTGGCGCGAATTTTTCGTCTTCGCAGCACAGGACAACGGCTACTGTCGCCTGCGGAAATCTGTGATTTGCTCAAGGGCGTCATCTGGATGACAGTTACGCTTATAATGCTCCTGGTAGATACAAATCGGGTGTACCATATCATCAAGTCGCAGTCAATCATTAAGCTGTACATATTCTACAATATGCTGGAGGTGGGCGACCGCCTCTTGTCCGCTTTTGGCCAGGATACCATTGATGCTCTATTTTGGACGGCCACTGAACCAAAAAATTCCAAGCGGGAACACTTCGGAGTCCTTACACACGTTCTGTTTACATTGATCTATGTGTTTTTGCACAGCGGACTGATCATGTTTCAGGTGGGTAATAATTCTTTGCATTGCATACTTAAGGACTGCTGTCTTGAATTCAAACTGCCTTTTAACTAAATTATACTAACGGATGCAATTCTTTTTTAGGCCACCTGTTTGAATGTTGCCGTGAACTCCAACAACAAGGGCCTGCTGACCATCATGATATCGAATAACTTTGTAGAGCTGAAGGGATCCGTGTTTAAGAAGTTCGATAAGAACAACCTGTTCCAGCTTACCTGCAGCGATGTGCGGGAGCGCTTTCACCTATCCGTGCTGCTGTTCATTGTGGTAATCCAGACTATGAAGGAGTTCGACTGGAGCATAACTCAGTTCTGTGTGATGCTGCCCGACTGTTTCGCAGTGCTATTTACAGAAATCTTGATTGATTGGGTGAAGCATGCGTTTATTACGAGATTCAATGAGCTGCCAGAGAGCATCTATAGGGAGTACACTACTAGCCTGGCTTATGATATGACCCAGACGCGACAGAAGCACGCGTTTTCGGATCACTCGGACTTAGTGGCCCGGCGCATGGGCTTTATACCGTTTCCCCTGGCGGTGGTCTTGATAAAAGCGATCTACACAGCGGTTTCTTTCGAAAATTTGGCCGCCTGGCTTCTCTTCTTGCTGGCCTATTTCTTTGCTATGGGCCTGCGAATCTGCTTGACCATCTGCGCGTTGGGTAAGGCCTGCAAACTAATGAAGGAGCATCAAACAGAGCGGAATAGTTCAACGCCGAGCAGCATGACCAATGTGCCTTTCATAGGAGCAGCTGCCCCTGTCTCAACGTCTTCGATGGGCGGGCCGAATCACAATAATAATAATAACAATAGCATTGGCTCGAAGCCAGCACAAGTGACCACGCTGTTGACCCCACCCAATGCCGTCAATCTCGATGTAAGTCACAATTTCTCCCGTGCCTCAATCGCCTCCACGTCCACGCCAAAGAAGGCGGTCAGTGAGCAGGAGCTGGATGTTACCAACTCCTTGGAACTGGGCGCCACAGCTCTCTTCTCCAACAGTGATGTGGATTTAGATGATGTTTGCCTCAACGAGCAAGTGACCAATACCAACGCAGGCTCAGCCGTCCAGGAGGTTTACCAGGAGCAGGACCTGGTGCGCAGCCAGCCGGATCTGATGCTGCTGAACGATTCCGCTGGCGGAGAGGCGAGCCTCAAAGTTAAGCAGACGACCCAGCGGCTGCCCAAGCGAACGCACAAGCGATCCGAGTCGGAGCCTGGCATTCCCAGTCTGGTAGAGAAGGGGGCAACTTCCGGACTCGCGGGCGGCAACCAAACGACACAGCTGTAGCCATAAATCGATGCTAATTTATTTTTATATTTGATTTTACCTTGTACGTAGTTGCGTCTTTGATCTTTTGTATATCGCTTAGTTGCTCTTTTGTAAATTTAAGTGAGAAAGGATTTAAAATGTATTTTAGGTTATAGCTCAAAATATGTTCTCTGTAGTATATCAAACTGTGCCTCAAAATCCCTTTAGATGGGGCTCCCTAAGAAAACTTTTTAAATCCGTTTTTTGGGAGTCACACTAAAACCTACCATTTTGGCTGTTATTGAGCACTTGAAAAAATAAAACATGACAGATTTTGTCTACAAAATTGATCACTATTGTGAGGTGTGAAACGAAATGAAACTCAATTGTTCAACAAATATTAAATCATTAAATTTGTAGAGGATTTAAATTTTTTAAAATACAATTGATGGAAATCACTATTTTATTTTGTTTATAATATATTTTGCACTGAATGCTTTATAAAGCCTATATAAAAATTGTAAACTACTTAATTTGTAATATTGGGTGCCATAATTTCGACAAAGAAGATTTATTTACTGGAAGACTGCTGTGTACACAGTATTTTTTTATTTTGTGGATTTTAAGAAAACATTTAGCAGGATAGATTAATTTTAAAACTAGTATTGTTAGATCCAGCACTCTTTTTTGTAAATTGAGAAATGTCACTTTTTTTGTCAGATACTCCCATTTTTTAATAGATTGAATTTTGTTAGTTATCAAAACACTTTTCTAACTTTTTTGGTATTTCTTTTATTTTACACCTGTCCCACCGCAAAATTAACATATAAATGGAATTTAGGCCCAACTGGGCAAAAAATCAGACGTACAAATGCCTTCTGCTGGGGGATTCTGGCGTAGGCAAGTCCACTTTCCTGCGTCGCCATGTCACCGGAAAGTTCACGGAGCAGCATGTGCCCACCAGGGGTCTCCTCGTGCACACGCTTCTGCTGCAGGCAGATTACCAAGCGGTGGCACTAGAGCTCTGGGATGTGGCGGGCAATGCCAGGCATGGGGGTCTGCAAAATGGGTACTACTTCCATGCCAAGTGCGCCATCGTCATGTTCGACCTGAGTGTTGAATCCTCGGCTATAAGTGTGGTGCAGTGGCTCCGCCAATTGGAGGATATATGTGGCCCTGAAATTCCGGTGGTTATTTGTGGAAACAAGGCGGACTTGATGCCAATGCCATTGAATTTGCTTTATCGTCGTCGCAGTCGCTTGGACTACTGTGAGATTTCTGCACGAGCCGCTTGGAATCTAGATGAGCCACTGAGTCTCCTCTGTCGGAGATTGCTAAACAAATCCAATTTGGTGTTGATTTCCCAGCCGATCCTCAAGCCATTGCCTGGTTGTGTGCTGGACGAGCAAAAGATCCGACGGCGAGTAAAGGACATAAGGAAGAATGCTCTTTCGGAGAAAGATGGGGAAGTGAGACTACGAACGGCAACCAAAGGGCAGCGCATCGTCCTAAATTGATTCCTAAAATTAACTGTAATTATTGTAGTTAGTTGGTGTAGTTAATAAAAGTATAGTAATAAGATTTATAAACAAAACGTCGGTTGCTTTTTGATAAAGAAAGAATAATAATTATTTAATTAAGTATGTATTATTTTGATATACATTTTATGAGCTGCAAAGTGCTTTTACTATATTTTTATAATAATTTTTAAAAACATATATTAGGGCTGTCCAAATTGATATGATCATTTTTGCGACCTACTCTTATCCGCTTTTATGCATTGCTCATAATGCATACCATAAAACATTTTGTGAAGTAAAGTTTATCACTCATACGTACTGTTGCCTGTGATCAATTATTTGATTCTGAGTGACGCTACAACACTTTAATTTTTAAGAGTTTTTAAGGTTTTCGAAAAAATTGATTGTACACTTAAATCTAGTACATTTTTTGTCGAAAAAAAGTTTTTTTTTCACCAGCATTAGGTACATTTATTGGTTTAACTAGTTTCTTTTCTGCTATAAAAAATTTTAAATTATTTATATTTTGTCTACCATTAATAATTTATATTAATACTGATATTTTATAATACATATCTGCGTATAATTAAAGGTTTTTTAAATCAATTTTAAACATAAAATTGAATATATATTTGCGCACGCGTCATTTAAACGATAACCTTTACCATTTTGACAGTCATCCCCATTTAATTTTTCATCTGAACGAAATTCAAATGACTAAGGTTACCACAAATTCCTAAGGGCAAAAATTGCTTTTATTTTCGCGTGAAATTGTTTCTACCCTCACTCCAAACATTGTTTTTGGGCCCCGAGCTCATTGCTGGTGGTGTGGGAAGGGGATTAGAAGAGCAGGAGTTTGGTAACCCCCTGTTGGCTTTATGAATGAAAAGGTTTCCCGCTTTGTTTGTGTTTGCACGCGTAGAAAAATCAACAAGCTGCAAATGGAGTGCTCGTTTAGCCCACATCCGGAGCCGATTCGTGGCTCCAAAACTCAGCCACCCTATATATGAATATCCATTTCACGACACGCGCCATGGATGTATATGTATAATCTACGCCACGGGGCGTATCAGTTTTATGAATGAAATTTTACGCTGACCTTGGAGCAGCGCATTGTGGTTGCGTCAGTGCCCTAAAAGGGGAAGTTTTCGAAGTCAACCCCTAGAACGAAAACCGCGAAATATATGCAATATAACCGGCGCATACTCACCAAATTCCGAAGCATTTCGTACGACTCCTCGCTGGCCATTTTCATTCATGAAAACTTCGGCTAATTTCATGAATGGCTCTTTCCCTTTTTAATTTCAAGGACACACCGCTCCGCAGGCATGGCGTCCTTATCGATTTTCCCTTTCGCATTTATGTGCTTTTCACATTCACTTTTAGCGTGGGCGAATAAAGTTTTCCTTCTTGTTCAATGAAATTTGTGAAGATTTATTTCTCCTTCTTGGGCATTGCATTTAAAGCAAAGTACATTGAATTGCTTCTCTTGAATTCGGCTTTGTATTCTAGCATTTGTAAAAAAAAAAAAAATTTTTAAAAACTTTTTTTTTTGCAATATTTAACAAAAATCTTCATAAAATTATCATCTTAGGCACAGCTTATATTTCTCAGCTTTTTAAAATTATTATGAACTAAAATTAAGCTACTCAATAATTAACAAACAATTTTTAAATGTATAGGGAAATAGCTTTGACAAAGGATGAAAATATTTTTTTGTCTAAGCTATATTTTAAGGAACCAAACATTTTAAAAAGTTAATGTTGATATATAAGGATTATGGATATAAGAGTGTTTTTATAAATTTTTAACGGTATGAACATTACCACCGAATGTGAATGACAAAAAACCCCGAAAAGTAGGCCAATAAATTTGCAATTTTCTGGTACATGCCGGTCTTTTGGCAATATCGCTATTCTGGATCCTTAGAAAATTCCAATTCGCAGATGTCGCTGTAATGGTATTTCCCAATGTATGCTGCATAGTTTATGGGAAGCAATGTGAAAACTTATTTTATAACCTTCGACATCCGGCCGGCAGCCCATGGCCTGCGTTAAAAATAGCCTTGAGTAAGTCCACAGGGAGAGGGCCACGGACATACTATATAACCAGCTTTTTTTTATGAATGAAAGCACCACACCCAGCTGTACCAGGGCAATGCTTTACCTTGCTCTTGACTGCCGCTCTGCCCCATAATTTATCGATTCCTTTTGCGGCTCCAGCTCCGGACCTGCGCAGTGGCGCCGGATAGATACAGATACCAATACGTACGGTGTATGTATGGGTCTATAGATTCGCTCCCAGCTGCTTATCGTTGACACATTGACGACAATGAGCTTTGTATGATGCAGCCCGTAACTGTTGCTTCCCACTGACGTCATAAGAACAGCCATGGAGAGGGCCCATTACGTTTCATATTCCAAAACTACTAAATAATTATAATCATAGGAGAGATTATAACGGGTGTTACGTTTCAGTGACCCACCATCCTGTATTATTAAGTTCCCAAAGATATGACAACTTTTAAGGCTTATCACTTTATGACAGTTAACAATAAAAATCATACGCCTCGTTGTACAAAAGAGTAATAATGCGGGTAACAAAAGGTAGTATTAATATTGTTATGTACAGCACTCAATATCTAAAAAATAATAACATATGTTTTTATATGTATTTTTTTTTGGCTTTGTACATGCTGAACTCTCAAATTTAAATACCATTGTTGTTTATTTTAGCTCTATAGTAGTACCAAATGATAAAATATTTTAGCGTACGTATACGTAATGTTTACTCATATATCTAATATAATTTGTAAAGTAATTTTATCCGAACAGTCTTATACAAAAATTAAAGTTCTAGTTCTAAGCTCGATTCAAAGCATTCCTAATGAAATAAATTCATAATTTTTAAGAACCAAAGAAATCTCCAAAATGGAGATATACTCTTATGAGTGTTAACCTTTTATTTCTGAGCTTATATTTAAGTATAAAAAGATCAGATCACTTTGACTCCACTTGTGGTGAATTCCTGGAACCACTCGAATTGCTCCAGCCAGCGCTGAACAGTTCCCCCGAAAACGTACAGACGCACCGGGACGTAGTCCAACTCTTCGTCAATATCGTCGAAGGAGTCGGATGAATTTTTCTCGTCGTCCGAGTCCTCGTTAGACAGCAGGACATCTACGGCGATGAGGCAGTGCAGCAGATAGACCACACTGGCCACCAAAGAGGACGTCGCTTGGGCCCGCAAATAATTAAAGTACGGATGCAGTGGCTTCTCCGGCAGGATCTGATCCTCCGGCTTTTCATTGGCGTACAGGATGTAGAAGTCCGACTCGGCATCGCCTAGTAACATCAAGGAGCAGATCGTGTAGATGATGAATCCAGCCAGCGGACGCACTACCTCCTCGATAATCGAAGTATGGTTTCCGGTGCACAGATTTGTGCAGGCAAAGAGCGTCAGCACCGTGAAAATGTAAAAGAAAACCAAATACATGCTGTGCGCCAAGTCGTGAAGCCAATCCATCGTGGCCATGGTAATGAAAATAAAGCCTTTCAGGTGGAAGTGTATCACGAACATGTTGACTAGTGTCTCCACCATGTAGAAAAGGAATAGCACCGGGCGCATCTGATATATGTAGACCCTCATTTTCACAGTCTCTTTGGAGCTTGACAAAACTGGCTCGGTATATTTGACAAACCTTAGGTGTATGAAAAAAGTTCGAAGTTAACTTCAAAACAAGAGAGTATAGTCAAAAAATGTTCCTTACTCCGTTTCCTTTAATAGAAATCCTTATCGAGACTTAACGTTAACTCTATTGCGCAAATTGGCCAGCTGTTCCAAAATCATCCGTTAGATGGCGCCATGAAAGGCGGAAATGTAGGCGCTAGCCAGGCTTAAGCGTTTAATGGGTTTTTGGGCGTTAGGGTGTGGAAATTTTATTAGGCCAATCGATAGGTATTGCGAAAAAATACATATCAATTAAAATTTTATAATAGCATCAAAACTGTGGCCACAGCTTGTGGCTTGTGGGGCGTGGCACCATTTTAAACAAACTTGCGCTGCGTGGAACTCCTAAAATCTACATGCAAAATTCCATCTTCTGCTTTTCATTTACGAGTCTCGGTTCTACGGACGGACAGACAGACGGACTATGAATTTGGGAACAATTACATTTTTAGCTCTATACGGATAAATTAAATTTTTTTGTCTTAAAATCATTGTTAAAACCTCTCTGTATTTAGGTTTTGCGTGTTTATAATCTTACAATTAACTTAGCAATGCTAAAATATTCATTTTAATAATTTGTATAGCTTAAAAACTTGACAAAATATTATTTGAGTATTCTTATTATTTGAGATGTAACAAAAATAAAAAGCAAATAAAAGTATTTTATCGTCGTAAAAGATGTGTTTATCTATGTATTGCTAGGATTTGTATTTTGTATTCCAAGTATTTGAATACGATTTTTGTTGCCTGGAAAGGGTCCACAAATGTACTCTGTAGAGGTATAGATACTTCCCATTACCAAACACGACAGACACGCTTTTGTTGCGGCCCGTCCTCTCGGTTGGAAAGTGCTGCTTGGGCCAGCTCATCTCATCATAAAAAAAACCACTTCACGTTGGCTGCTGTTGCTTCTGCGGCTTCTGTTGCCGGACGAACTGCGTCTGGAAACAGTAGCAACATTTGCCTGCCAGTTTGATGCTGTTGACTGCTGTTGACGGCGATTACGTTGATGACGCGAGACCGCAACGAATTTACGCGCAATTCTCCACCGTGCTTCAGCTCAAGTGCCGAGAGGTAGCCCAAGCGGTAGGGTAAGCATTTAAATAAATGTGTAAATGTGTACACCGCCAGTGCAGCGCCAAAATGTTAGCACACTTTACCTGGATTTTCAATTTTTTTTAATCTCCATATGGAGGAGGTATCACCAAAAAAAGCAATAACTTTTCTAATACTTAATTAAGACAAGGTCTGGTTAAGTACTTACATATGTATGTATTTCTCAAGATTACTACAATTATTATTATAGTTAAAATAATAATTTTCATTTCAAGAGTTAACAAAATTCGTTTATACGTACGGGTTTCTCGGCAATCAGAGCAGGGACTTTAAAATAAAATAAAATGGATCGTTTAAAATTGTATAATCATTAAAATTTAAATTTGTGTACGGAAATATCTTAAACTGTTTAAGCCCTATATTTTAAAGAGCTTTTTGTTAAAACTTGTTAATACCTCCGACGATACCCTTGTTTAAAACTATTGTGAATTATTATTAAGAAGTGCATTTTATGTTTATACATGGCCAAGCATCAAACTTTTCTTTTAAGGTGTAGATTAATCTGTGTGTTGACCAAAAAATACAAGAACAGAAAAAAATGAAAAAATCAGTGCCTGCTATTGTTGTTGTAGCCACTCTGTGTGCAAAGTAAAAGGGTTAATTCATGTGGCCATTTCGACTGCGTCATCTCTTTGTGGTTTTTTTAACATTAAAAAAAACCCTGAATGCCGCTGCAATTTTGACAAGCGAACACACCGCGTTTTAGTGACTTTAAGTGCAACAACAAAAGAGGGCAGCTGCTGAATCTTTTTTGCTTATTTTTCTGTTTATCCCTCGAGATTCCAGGGATCGCACAGTAGTCATCCGCAACTTCTTCAAGTTGATCTTAAGCGCGTGTGCCCTGCCCAAAAAGCTTAGGTGGTTTATTTATTTTTCTCCTCTTATTTGCGGCCGCCATCTTAAAAGGAGCATATTTGTGTGCATCCTATAAACTCTAATTAGTCTCCCATATAAGAGTAATAACACACAATAAAATACAGAAATATTTTTTTGGCATGACCAAATATTAAAATTGTTAATCTAAAATTGGTCTCAAAATTTTAGATTCTCTTAACTCTTTAAAAAAACCAAATATTTGAATAACTCGTTTCATAATTTTTTTGTTTTTGAAAATGTTTATAAACTTATGGTATCCCAAATATCTCCTTCAATACTTTCATATTTAAAAATTGTATTTTTAATTATGTTAATTATATTATAACAGGGTTCGAGGTCTTTTTCCTTAGGCACATAATGGGCCAATACAATTTAATTTTGTGCATCATTTTCCCCAGCTTCGCCCCACAATTATATAGGCCGATCGAACTGTTACGTAAGCGTTCGCAGCACTGCAAATTGCTGGCGTTACGCCCATCCCAGGGGGCATGGCTGTGGCCACATGCCATTACACGCGGCTAAATGCAAGTGCATAAATAACAATTACAGCTGCAACTGCATCGGCGGCAGCAACAATAATAGCAATAATAGCCAACTCGGCCGCTCAGGTGTCAATTGGGGGCCGCGCTGACCGCCGGCCATTTTGCAAAAGCGCATTCTACTGATCGCCATATATCGGCATATAATGCCCGTTGATTATTATGTTTACACTATATGCGGTCCCAGATTGCCGGTCCCGGTAATGATCCCGGACCGGCCAAATCTCAATGCAAATCAACGGCAATTAATAATTCATCGCCCGCTGGGCCTCCTCCTTCCACGGCGTCCGAATCCGATGGCAATTATGCGCCACGCCGCCGGCGGGAGCCACAGTTTCCATAGGTAAGAGTAGCACAATGAGCTGGAAAAATGCATATGCTGGTCAGCGAGAGGGTGGTTCGGAAAACATGCACACCTCTAGAGAGCTTTGTGAAAAATGAGGATATCTTACATCGAAGGTATATAGCCCTTCCAAAGATAGAACAAGAGTTCTTTTGCGGATTGTCCTTTTTGAACATAAAATAAAAAAGAAAATGTTCTTCGCTGTATAAATTTCTGAAAACGTTAAAAAATTTAAGAACAAAATATTCGAATAAAAAAAGGTTAGGAGATCAAAACTCGATATCAAAAATGTACTTGGTTTTCGAAATTTTTGGGATCAATAAAAATATTTTCTTTAATTGTAAATTTTTTTATTTTAAAAGTCATTTACAAAGCACAAACTAAAAAAACTTTAGCAAGCTAAGAATTACTTTTATCCATATTTTAGATACTATTATTTTTAGTAAAAAATATGTGGAACTGAGTAACAATAATCCTAATTTGAATTCATTTTATAAAAATTTAACAATAGAGAATAACAAAAACTGCACAATCCATCCTCGCATATCTAACTAAATCTTTGCCTATATTCAATAAAATAAATTTAATATGCAAAACAGCCGGACAACAGCCGCAGCAGCATTACAAACTGCTCCAGTGGCCGCCTGTCGTCCAATATCAGCAAATTTGCAATAAAATATTTGTCTGGCCGTCGCTTTCAGTGGATCGGAGTGGTGCGAGTGGTAGGCCAACAGTGGGTCGTCGAGTGGTCGCCGCCTGGCTACTGCAAATTATTTATTTGCACCTTTCGCCGCCATCGTCTGACTGGCCACCGTCCACCCCAACACCCCTCCTCCGCCTCCCCCAGCTCTATTCTCTTTCTCCCGGGAACTGCATTTCCATTTGCTTATCAAATCGCTTGCAATCGGCAGAGTGAGAAATGCAGGGCAAATATAAATATTAGTCGTCTGAAAACGGGTGCCACATGCACAGAAAAAAAAGAGGCAGTATCATAATTATGCATTTAATCATGCATTTTTTACATATTTTCCCTCTCACATGAAAACGGTTATGTTAGCTATCTACCCTTATTATAATCTTATTTTGATATTAATTATAACTGATAAATAAATATTATTTTGATTGGATTATAAAATTTAAATTCTGAAAATTATTTATTTGGTAATTGTCGAACATATTAAATATATAGGCAGGTAAACTTATAATATCCTAAAAATGACCATCACCACAAATCACATATCACATATCTAAATCACACAATTTTTTTCAGTGCAGAAGAGGGGGACGGGATCTAAGACTGGCGTATGAAATTAGGCGCTGCCAATGCGCCGCCAGCCATTTCGACCTGTCCGATGCATGAAAAGTGTGAAAACGAATTAGTGCCCGAGCTCAGGGATCTGGCCAAGTCGGATTCCCCTCTCCGAAACTGGCTCAGAGTCTGAACTGACTGAACTGACTGAAGGAATGAGGGCCGAGGGCAGACAGAGGTCGCAAAAGTTATTAAGGTTTTTGCATTCGTGATTTTGAAGCGAGTCGTATAGGTGAAATCGATATGGGTTAGAGATCAGGTCAGCAATTAACATACATAGCCCAAACATTTCTCGAAAGGAACCAATCCAATTTTTTTTACAATTTTAAGATCATACAGTAAATCCAAAAATAAGTGAGTGAGTTCTGATAACCGTACTGGATTAAATCCTATTTCAAAACTTCCTATACTCAACTTCCAAGAATTTACGACTTCTCTACGGTCACAACTCCTTTTAAAGTACGACCAAAACCGCTGTCCTCGAACGACTTTCAACACATGTCGCTTGTTTACTGTTTGCTCCACAAATGCCTGGCCAAAAAAGCCAGGGAACCAGAGCTAAATTGTCACTTGCACACGGGCGCCCAATAATTATAACAATGGGTGGCCAATGCGACAGTCGCAGTTGTGGAGCTGTAAACTGCGTCATGTTCACAAATTTGTTTGCATTCCGCAACGGTGGTCGCCACTGACAAAATGCTCAAAGCCCGAAGCACCGAAACGCACAAAATGCGGAAAAATCGAGGAGCAAATAGCAAAGAGCCAAGCCATCGTCACATATGACAAATTTTGTTGTTGAAAATCGTGTAGCTGTTGCGTGTGGCTTTAGCCAATCGAAGGGGGGCGTGGCGGGGCAAAAGGGGCGGGAGAGGCGGTAGGGGCGGTAGGCGGCTGCCACATGCGTGGCGCATGCGTGGTGGAGTCGGTGACTATGACAAATCGCCACATGGCAGGCGGCCAATTAGCAAGAGGAGAAGTCCATACAGACTGGTTTGATGCCACCTGATAGATCCAAGATTAATTACCGCAAAAAGCCAGACTAAGCTTCTTTATGTGTGGAACATATGGATGGCCTTAAAGATCGATCCCATCTTTATAATCCTATATATTAGTTTCTATTTAAAAGTACAAAAACATGACTTAAATAAGTTGTTCTGATAGTAACGCGGCGTACATAAAGAAAAGCTTTTGATATTATGCTAAAAATCATTTTTCACATTGAAAAACAAATATGTTAAATATTTTTGAGTTAGTTTTAATTCACAAATATTGATACTGACGAGGACCTCCATTTACACTAGTAAAATCATTTTACAAAGCAATCGGACTTCGTAGTGGTTCGTGAAAAATAAACTGGACATTATCAATAGGTACGTATTCCTCCGCAATGCATTCCAGTTTCAGGATAGATCGTTTTCGAGCCCAAAGGCTTGACAACTAAAAAGCAAAAACTATTAGAAATCCAGTAAAATATACGAGAAAACTCTTACGTTCTTTTGGTAGGAATCCCAAATATCCTGAGAATCCTTAATTCTGAATAACAAAGGAGGCTGTGTTTCCCCACTGCAACGAACTTTCACAACATTATTAAAAAGTCCCTCCGTCAGTTTTGGGCACTCAATGAGTACAAGTTCTTTTAGGTTGGGACTGGCCTTGATAAAATCCAATAGTTGGTCATCATTTAGATCGGGGCAATTGCAAAATAAAGTATAGCTTTGAGAAATAGGCAGACACAGTTTGGTCAAGTCCTGATTTTTGAATATGCAATCAACTAACTCCAGCTCATCCAAACTAAGGCAGAGATTTAGTTTCATTTGGCTTAGATACTCTGCATGATCCATGAAGTTGCAGTTAAGTTGAAAGCTTTTGAGTTGACTGCCTTTCTCCTGAATCACTCTGGATAAAGCCTTTAAGGTGGCCTTGATGTCCAATTCCTTAAGCTGAGTGAGCCTTAGAACCAAGAGCTCCGGCAGTTGACAAACCTCACTCGGACTGGATAAGAAAGTAGGAAGATTTACCAACAGATTCCTTAGCTGTTTGCACTTCGAGATTCCCTCAAGTTGGTGGCTAAGATTTCCCAGCAAGTGCAATTGTGTCAATGGCATATCACTAGATAAAATAGCCTTTAAAGCTGAACTGGAAATCTCTGCGTAGATCTTAAGTGATTCCAGTTTTCTAAAACGGTCAATAAAGCAGGCCTGTACAGAAGCATGTATCTCCAGATAAATCAGATTGCTCAGAAGTTTGGGTAAGGCGTGAAATGGCCATTGTGGAAAGCTTCTGTTCTTAGTGCTCGGCGAATGACCCCCGGAAATCTCACAGGACTCCACGTTGACCAGACGTTCAATGCCCGCCTGTTCCAGGATATTCAATTCCTCCTGCAGCTGCTCACTGCGCAAATGGACGCTCCTAAACCCAGTACACATATCCTGCAGAAATAAGTGAAGGTTCGATCCGTGAAGTTTCCACTGCATTTGACCCAAGTCCAATCGGTCGTATTGATCCCGCCACAGGGAACTAAAGGCATCGGGCACTTTGTCGAAGTGACGGTGCAGCAGTGCTTGATCATTAATATTGAGCTTCCTGAGAACCAAGTGTACAAGGGCTAGGTCCTCATTATCTGTCTCCGAGTCACTGCTTCCCACCATGAACTTCCTACTAGAATCCTCCTTAGTTGGTAAAGGCATTTTCTTGCCTTAAAGTTGTAAATTGTATGCAAAAGGTAAAAAACTTTTATTGTGTTCTATGTAGATAAGGTAAAACTAGATGCCTACTACTATAGAATTTATTTTACATTATAATAAACGACATTTTAAATAAAAAAATATTTTTTTTTCTTTAGTTTATCTTGGGTATATAAGAGATTATACCTCTGTAACACCTGAACTTAATTTAATTAGAGTAATTAATTTACTTTAATTGGCATACATTTGAAGTCTTGATGCTTTATACCAGGTTCACGACTTGGTTAAAAATTATTTGTTTTTGAAAGCTCACAAAAAATAATGGACCAACGTGAATAGCGGAAATTTCAAGTGTTTTTCCCACTACAATTTATCTGACATTTTTTCCAGCCACATTTTCCTGCAGCACTCTCAATCTGACACTTATGGCATTGCTACCACCCTGCTGAGATCGGATGCTAACGAGCCATGGATATGTTTTCATTTCAAACTGATTTTGTTTTATGGACCCAGGCATGGGGCCCGACCTGATCGACGGGGACACTCGCCCCGATCCAGTTGGACTTTTCCTAATGCCGTCTGGGGCGGCTCTTCTTGAAGCTCTCCTCCGATGATAGGCCTTCCAAACTCTCCGCTAATGAGCCCGACGAGTTGTTTGGGGTCTTATTTATGACACTTGCCTGCTCATATCTCGGCTTTTGTTTCCAAAACATTTTGCTGTGGCATCAATTAAGCGATTGGCTAGACTTGGTATTGATATAAAAACAAGTTTCACAATGGAAATGAATAGGAAAACCACGAAAACAGAGTCCAAACTTGTTAAAAGTGTGTGCAGTGTGCGTTTGGCTGCTGGAAAATATGAAAATTGAAATGTTTTATTAATAAACTTCAACAACTTTGATGCAAGTTAATTAAATAAATGTTTCTGTGTTTCTGCGGTTTATTGCTGTTGTCGACAACCGTTGCAATTCTCGCTATTTCTGACAGTTTGGACACATTCGAAGAAGGCGAATAAGAAATAGTTGCCGTTGGGTGGCAATGCAAACCCCTCCCCAGATGTGAATGTGATTAGATTTCCCAAAGATTTCCAGGCTACCAATTTGTCGGATGCGGGGTGAAAAATTATTATTAAAATGGTATGAATAATTTTTAAATTATTGGTGGTTGAATTTAAAAGAAGAAAGAGTAAGTGATCGTTGTCAGATATGATTAATTTACTTATAATTTGAATTACACTATCCTTAAAAAAACTATGTAAAATAGCTTGATCTTTTGATTGTATTCACTTCATACAATGTTGTTAGATTGTTATTAACTTATAACGACTCAAATAGCTTACCGACTGTTTTATTTGCCTAGTTTATAAAATTTATGTAATTAATACTAATTGGTCCTATTAAAAACTATATACTTTTAAATCAAATGAAAAATGTTTGCTTTAACAATTTGCTACTGATAGATAAAAAATAAAATCTGGGGATCGTAAATTTTAAATAAAATCGCCAATAGACTTCTGTATGCCTAATGAATAAGTGCTTTAAATCCTTCGTTAGTGGCATATTTGTAATATATTAATTGATTATTTGGAAATAAATACTTCTTCATAATCATTTTTTCAATCAGTGATTCTAGTTTGTCCACGTTTGCATCTGAATCTTCTTTAAGCCAATCAACAAGTGCTTAACATTTTATTTCTACGTTTATTAACTATCTTTGGACCGTCTCCAGCAGCGGAAAAAATACCGTTTATGGCCTTGTCGGGTGGGCCTCAGATACAACTGCAGATACTCATAGATACACAGATACAAATTGTGCCTGCCCGCATTTGGGGCGTTTACATTTGGTTTTGGCCGTAACTCGTTTAAATGCCTTGAAATTCGGTTCGTTTTCGCTGGCGAGTTGGGTTTGTGCCTTTTGCCTGGCATTTTGGGTAAATATTTTAATTATTTTTGTTCAGCAACGCCCCCTCCGAACTAGATTTCCTCATACGTTAGATCTGGGAAAGGAAACGATAGAGGACTATGCAGAGGGGGGCAGACTATTTTGTGAACTATAACAGCATTTGATAGATGGGACCTGCAGCGATGCTTTCTCATTAGCGGCTCATTAGACTGCCCAATTGACGCCTCCTCGCCCGCAAACCAAATCGCTCAACACGGGCAGCTCGTTAATAAGGTGGCCTGGCCAACTGATTACAATGCGCAGCCAATCGCCAAGACAATCGCCTCAACTTGCCGGCCGCTGCAATTATTTGCACGCGAATAAACAATTCAAAACATCTCTGGGCGTTTATCACTGCCTCTCGACTTGGCCGGATCGGATCGACTTGCTATTTTCCAGGCCTGTTGGCGTTTAATTTTACGGCTTCATTAGCAGGGCCATCGGTGGATCGGCCAACGTGGGTAATTTGATGGCCCCCAGGGCTACCACCTGCATTCGTCTCGGCCAGCTTGAGCTACTGTCGGCCCGAAGTGTCGGCCAATATGAGAGGGCTCCTCTGCAGCACGACGGCTGGGAGGTCTTTGATGTGCTCGGCATTTAATTGGTTAAATGTCACTTATCGTTTTGCGGAATATCGCATTAAAATGTTGCCGAACTTTCATGTCTTCACAGTGTATTATGAATTCGAGTTTTTTTTTCATGTACCATAATTGTTGGTACGCTTAAATCAAGAAGAAGTTATTTCATTTTATTTTTATTAACGTGTTTTTCAGAAATTATAAGCTTATACATTGTGTGAAACTGAAATAAACATGTAGTTAATTATCTTTCAATTCTATAACTAACAAACTATGCCATATGAATTTAAAAAAAACTCTTAAAAAAGATGCAGATGCAAAGCAAAAGGCCTATAGAAACAGCCACCAAATTTATTTGTATTTTCAATACATTCAAAGCCAGGACACTTGTTACTTTGACCTTCTCAAAGTTCCTTTCTGGTCAGTCAACCCTGCCATTTTTTTTGTTTTTCATTACCTCTGCATAAGATTTATCAATCACGTTGAATCTCTTGCCATTTGGTTCGGAACTTCTTTGTTAGTAAAACTTCCTCTCGTTCTCCTTTAAAATGTCTTTATGCTCCCGCCACTTGTTGGTTTTGATTTATGCGCACAATTTGCATTATATAAAACACGTATTTATGCGGTTTGGAACATAAGAGCGGCTTACGGAATGTTATCCCAGATTATGAGCGGGAATTCAATCGGAAAATGCGAATGGACAAACATTTAGTTTGCAGCTTAATGATCGGTCGTTGACTTGGATACTTTATGCCATGCGCCAGTACCGAACAACATTCAATAATAATAATAATAATGATAGCAACTGTAGGCGCATCGCTCTATGATTTTATGGCTAAAAGTGCGGAAGAGGACGGGACTCTGGAGTTCCGAGTAGAAGGCCAAAAACCGGACCTGATTCGTACCACAGCAGGCAATTGGGATTGGCTGGGCGTGCGTGTGGCATTTATGTCGAACTGTCAGGTGAAGAAGACAGTCCTAAAGCCCAATGTCTAGTGACAATGTTGCCCTAGACGACAGACCAACCTCGTCCCCTCTGATTTCCCAGGTTGGTCCACTCTCATCACACTAATTGCCATTTACACCTAAAACCGCAATCAAACTGACATCAATTTCTATACTAATTTGGAAAAGAAATGCGGGAGGAATGGGCAATAGGTATTCATGGTACCCTGGAATATTATAGAAATATGTTGACTTTGTATACGTCTTGTTTTTCATTGAAGCTTTTAATTCAAAAGTTTTACAAAACTTCTTGGAAACTTCATGAAAGGCTTCTTAATTGTACATACAATTTTTAAATTTAATGTAACACTTAGAAAGATGTTGAATAAAGATAGGGTTTCAGTATACCCTACTGATACCTTAACTTTTTTTTCGATGATTAAAATAAAGGCATCGTCAAATGGTCAAGATGCCTTTCCAATGCTTCATTGTGTAGCATTTACCATTTTGATGGTTCCAACATTTTTATGAGCCTTGTCTTAAGGTTTACAATACGGATAGATCGTTAATTTCTCTCTGTTTTTTTTACTTCTGGGGATCTCCGCTAATGAACAAAATACCAGAAAAACGTTTTCGTGTCGCTCGCCATATGGATCTATTTTTATTGATTCCGATTTTTATTATGCAAATTTAGAAATTAAGGTAATTCGCATAAGTATAAAATAAAGGCAGGAGACAAAGGAAAAGACTTAAGGAAATTCTGGGGCAGACGCCTCAATTAATAACCATTTGGCGATAATATCGATCAGCGATAGTAAACTTTATCGCTGGATTGTAAAAAATCAACGGCACGCTGTGTTATTGGATCAATTATTCAGTCGAGGAAGATGGGAATGGCTATCGACTCTAATGAACACATTACATAAAATGTTGAGTTTTATGCCCCACTTTGAGAGCCGGGAATTTTTTTTTTTTTTATATTTCTTTACTGGACGCGCCAATTAGAAGGGCTTGGACTCGGAGACTCGGCTTTAATGGCAATGGGCCAAGCCATGTCTGGGCTTTGGTTTTATTGTCTTGCTACTGATCTGTATCTGTTGTATTACTCATGTTACCGTCGAGGAACGGCAAAAGAAATGTGGCCGCTCCTAATCAACCCGGTCATTACTTGATGAAGTTCATTTTGCGGCCCAGTTTGGTACTGTTGGTTCTCTGAATTGTTGTTGTGGAAAACCGATACAGGTAAGCGATACTCCCCGATTTTTCCTAACCATAAATGCAACGCGTGTGTGACAAGTTGCAGTTGAGCTACCAAAGCCTCATAAATCGCTAGCTTATGGTGTCTAGCATTTCCACCTGTTCGAAATGCTTAATAATTCACCACTTAATTGCATTCCAAAAATTATTTGACTGACGTATACAGAAGGAGTTATGACCAGTTACGAATCGAATTTCAAACAAACATTCAGATTTACACGGGGAAATCTTCGATCTCGGCTGCTGTCTCACCTCATCAATCAATGCTCGTAAACCGAAATCGAAAATCTATTTTTGCTAATATCGCATAATCTTGATTACTCATTTCCGGCGCACATCTCAAAACTTTAT